CTCCCCCTCCCCCCTCTCCCCTCTCTCACCGTCTGTCTCTCTTTCACTCGCTCGCTCTCTATACGCATCCCGCTGCCCCGAACCGACAGCCGACAGAGTAGCTTCGCTCGCTCTGATCCCTCGCAATTACTTCCCATTATCTGGGTATTAGGATTCACCCCAACTGGAAGCACGACATGTCCCGCAGACGCCGCCTATACAACATGCACTCGTTGGAAATCTACTATCTGCTAGAATATTGTTTCTTTTCTTAACAAATCAATTACGATCGGGCCTATTTCGCCGATCTAATCTCCCGCAACAGGTAGTAAAAATTGTGCGATTACGAACGCGATCGCGTAATTATGCGACACGATAGAGTCGAATTCGTTGCAACTTCCGCCGCACGTCTCGCCATTATTACGGACTACAAATTGAACACTGGCAATCGTATTTACGACGTTCTTAACGATAATAATAAGGTGAGTCGCGAGTAAAACTTCGCGGCACTCGCGTACTTTGGATCCCCCTTGCTTGTTCGTCGACTCGATGCCTCGTTAGCTTCCGAAAATGTCTCGGACCAGAGGCATTGAAATGTCACGTCGATAATTAACAAAATGGTTACGTAGAAAAAAAAAAATCGCGCGTCGTTCACGACGCAATGATGACACATTGATGCACGCTCCGCGATCACGCGATTATAGTTCTAAATTTAATTCTACGTGTGGTTTCTGTAAAGTTAGCGTATCTCACTTTCAAAAATAGAAAACGTTTATCAACAGTTATATTTGCAATAACATTGTATAGGTCCCAGAAATAAATCCATTAAGGAACTAACAATAAATAAAACTATAGACATTTAAATTAAATCGATCGTGAGGCGGATAATAGTTCAAATGTACAACGTATGACTTTTGAAATATGCCAGCGATATATCGAACCGCGTATAGAAATAATTGAGATGAATTCAATGCCCTTCCTCAAAGTGAAAACGTCCTATCGCGTCCTCTAACTTGATTAGTGAAAATGATCAGTTTAATTGTTGCTTACAATTAAGATATCCTTTATTCTTCAAAAGAAACACTAATAATTCTTTCTAAATAGGATAGATAAAATTGATCGAGTATTCACGGTGTAAATTTGATTGTTAAAACTCGGCACACACTTAACGATTTGCATTTGAAAATCCTAAACAAATTTATATAAATTTTGAGCGTAAGAATCAGTGTTTATTAACTATAGAATTTTTATGTATAAAGATTGCAATAAAATATGATTTAACATGCTCAGAGAAATAGAACTTTAAATGTAAAAACATTAATTCAACTAGCTTCAACAGGGGTGTATAATAGTAACCAAATTATGATAAGTAGTTGTAATAATTTGCATCAATATATTTTTTCATATAAAAGTGCATACGTGACAGGCAGATTAAAAACATTTAGTAATACGATTAATAAAAATTGCAAAGCGATAATCGAATGAAGGATGAAACATGGAAGGAGATCGGAATCAAAATGTAAGCTATGGATAAATCATGAAATATTATTAAAATCCAATTTCTTATATTATAAGATTTATTTGAAGAAAGTTTCATAAGCTTTGGAACGCATAAAATTCTTTCGCGTATTAATTATGTATATAAAATGTAACGTAATAAAATGTCGTAACAATAATAACAAAATAAGCGGTTAATCGCGTAATAATATAATAAAGCGTGATAATGCGTATTCCTGATTGATGAATTCGGATGAAATCTACAAATAATCACACTTAAATCACATTTAAATAAAATTCCCACACCCATCGTAATAATCCCTGAGTTAAAACAAAGAATTTTTTATTAGCCTGTCGCACTTGATATAACTAGTTTAAACAATGCAGCTTTGTCCGGAAAGACAAATAAATTAAAGAATTTTAATCAGATCTTTCTTCCATTATGTTAAAATTTTTTTACAAAATTGTGTGATATATATAACAAGAATTACTTTATCAACATAGTCTATGATTGTTGTAAAATCTGTGTGTGCTGCAATGCCAAACACATTCTTCACAATTTTTCGCGCTTGAAAGAAACGGTAGTTGAATACTTTTACTTCATCTTCTTTAATTCGGTCCAAAGTAGGAACACAATTTAAATAAGTTTTTAATGAGAAAGCTTCATTATTTTTAACAATTGTGAATGGCAATTGATTCTTGAGTATCTGGGAAGGGTTTTAGGCGAAGGTATGTACATTTTCTCAAGTTTTGATCGTTGTTGTAAGTCGCAATATTCAAAAAACACCCCTGTCGCTGCTTCTTCTATACGATCTAATACGGCAACTATGAATTTATGCTGCACAACTATTAATTTCAATAGAAAAAGTTTTTCCATTATTAAATGAAAAAAAGAAAATCTCTACTGGCTGGAGTTTTCATTTTTATGTTTTTTTAATCTAACGTACTTAGGCCTATATATCTGTATTAGGAAAATATTATAAATTTCAAAATTTATTTGCAATTATTTTTTTCCAATTATTTATTTTTTTTTTGGAATAGGCCTCGCATGCATCATCATTTTACTAATTATTACACTGTATACTTTATGAATTATTGACCACACTATCAAGACTTAATCTAAACTAAAGATTATAATAAGCATATAATCTCTCCTGCGGTCAAAAGAATCTACAAATAAAATCAATTATATTACATCAATAAAGGCTCTCAAAATGGTATCTAAAATACCATTATAATACTGCATTAATAAGATATAAGTATCATAGAAAAAATAAAGAATCTGATCATCCAGAGAACCCAACAGATGTATTTTTTTCGTATTAGAAAAGCAATAGAAACATTTCTCTCTTTCTCTCCTTTCTTTGCCGAAAAGAATTTGCTGGGAAACGTATAAGCACAAATATTTTTAGTGTGGTTTCCGAAATTGAAATGCAATTATTAGTAAAATCACAACCATTACCCACACGAATACTCAAAAGCTACCTCAAGAAGAGAGATAATTTGAACGCGGTAAAATTTAGTTCATCAAGAATCAGTAAAATCATATCTGTTGTTCATATCGTGGCAACTTTGGTTACTTGTCCAATTTTTATCGAAATTTTCACGAAGGGAAAAATTTTAGACAATGTACACAATATAATTTTCATCAATTCTACAGACATTATTTCGAGAAACCCTAAATTCATCACAATCTTCACATTTATCATCAGCATGTACAAGTTATTTTCATTTACTTTTGAATAAAAATTAATTTAATAACATGAACGCTATAAAAATAGTAAAAAAATTACTTTAAGGCAAGCTATTAGACTCTTAATTAGTTATTGTTTCTCTAATTCAAGTATTTGTTTTAGTGATACTTGATTGAACTTTTTCTAATAAATTGATAAATGAATGTTCTAAAACATTGATGAAATTTTATTTCATGAAAAGACGAATTTATTACGTTTAACGAAGAGAATATAATCTAGCAATTATTGTTTTATTATTAGAAAAAGAAGACGAGAGGAATGCAGGAGGAAAGCAAAATTTTAAAGAGTATGAATGCATAAAGCATTCTTTGCACGCAAAAAAATTCTTTACACAGATTACACAAGAAATTGTGTCGCGATGGAATAAAATTTCATTATATAAATATAAATATTATAATATTTAAAAAATGGCAAAATATCTGTTGAAAACAAAAATCTAGTAGTTCGTCTAAGATAGATTTCTGCTAATTTATTTCATAACGTTCATATCATTAGATTATAAATTAATAATAAATTATATATTTCAATGACATATAAATACCTTTTAAAGAGAGTCGCATAACGTTGTGCTCTTTCCGATCTCGAGCGGGACAATGTCTCTGGCCATGTTTTCCGTTACGCGGCAAGCTTTAGTTTTTGCTAAATTTAAAAAAATGATATAATAAAATCGAATTTCTCGCTCCGCGTAAATCTGTTACGGTCGTTACGGGTGCCGCGCGAGCAAAGATTATCTTTTTTCCTTCTCTATAATTGCCGTAATTGCCGTGATTCTGGCAAGAGACGAAACGATTCGATTTTATTACAACATATCTCAGCGATATTGACGTTGGGCGGAATGCTGGCCGTGTTGCGATTGATGGTGCAGGCCGATCGAATGTGGGTGCGAGTGAGAGTGCGAATGCGGATGCTGATGCGGATGCGGCTGCGACTGCGGATGAATCGTCGTGTGGAGAATCCTCGGTGGCGTGCCGCGTCTGGATAGAGGCGGCAAAGTACCGCTTCGCGTCGACGACGGTGTCAGAGCCGTCGACGTTGACGTCGACGTCGACGTCGGCATCGGCGTCGGCGTCGGCGTCGGAGTCGGCGTCGGCGTTGCCGTCGGCGTCGGAGTCGGCGACGGTGTTTCGCCGCCTAGCACGTCGATCTCGTCGTCGTCCTCGTCGTCGGAATCCGCGGGCGCGTCGCTGCTCGCGCGGGACTCGCGGCCGCCGCTCAGCGAAAAATCCACGGGTCGTTCTGCAAACAAATGACAAATCATTAATATAGAACGGCGAATGATAATTTTGCAACGCGTCAACCTCCGCCGTGGCTCGCGAACCGCGATTGGAAACGTTACGTTTCTGATTTTCGCTGTCATTTCGCGTCGGAATCGAAGCGTCATTGAATAACGAAACGCCCGTCATCGTTCGTCAAACCGTCAAACGGTCGTTGATGTTTTCGCAATTTCCCTCCTCCACGGCCAAAGGCGGTCCGCTCTTATTTCCCAAGCGGCCAAGATTTAAGGAAAAATCGAAATCCGCGACACGCGCCACGCGCCACTGCGATCTGCGATAGGCCTTAGTGGCGAGCAATCGAGAATATAGGTCTGACCGAGCACTTAGCGGGTAATTGAGCAATTTTCTCGAAGACGGGCGTAAGCGGGAGTCGGAACGAGACCGAGCGAAAGAGAGGCGCCGAAGGAGGGAATGAATCTCTCTCCCGAGTGCCTTACATAGCTCGCCCCCGAGTCTAAAGACGTCGAGGCGGTCTCGTCTTCTATGTGTTCCCACCCTTTCCACCCTCCTTCCCTCGACACCTCCTTCTTGGTTGCTGCCAAGGAGACGTCTATGTAACTTGGTTAGCCCTTCCTACTGAACGGAGCCATCTTGTCTACGGAGACGAGCAACTTGAAACAAAATACTATAGAATGCGCACAGAATGCGAATTCAAACTATTTAAATCGCTCGAAGCACACACGCACGTGTGCGCGCGTGTGTGTGTGTGTGTGTGTGGGTGCACATGCGTGAATATATGCATCTATATTCAATACACACAGACACACACACACCGAATACTCAAGTAGTTTTGGCGTTCGCGAGTGATTACGATAAATATCTACGGCGGAATGCGCGATCATTACACAGGTTACCTGCGGCAGGTACCGTTAATGATTATAGTTCCTCGCAACGTAACCACGGTTACGGTCTGGCTAGTTAAGCCGAACTTGCGTAATTTATTGTCAGCGGTATTTTGGTTGCATTATACAGATATCGCCCATTAGCGCGACAACAGGGAAGTATTTAACGACAACCGACGTTATAACGTGCTATCCCGCGTCTCTCCGCTCCACTCCGGCCAGATTAACCGATAACTATGGCCAGTTAATCCTGACTGTCGACAGCTATCGCGTTTGCGTATCGACTTGATCCGCAGTTTGTTTAACATTTTAGTGCATATCGGCGCACACATGCGCACCCGCCCTGCTATTACTCTATTACTATTAAACTGAATATCCGTCAGTTATGATATTTCGCTTGATTGCGCTTTGTGCACTTTTGGACGCGCCCGCCGTAAAAAGTCATGTGCACACGGTGCTTTTTTTTCTGCTTTCTTTATCGCTCCCAGAGCAGGCAGTCTTATTTTAGAATTATCGTTTATTTAGCACACAGTGTCATTAAGCCAAGTTAATTAACTCGCGGTGCGAGAATACTGCTCGCAGCTGTTTATCCGGTTTATCGAAAAGTCGATACGCGTACTTAATTTAGCGGTAATTAAATTACATGTTGCGTCGAGGAGGCTAGTCGATGCAAAATTATGTAGATACCGTGATTGCGACGACGATGTCGTGCGTGCATATTTTCATTGATCAGATTTTAAGCATTAATATTAACTTTTAATAATCTTGTAATCTTCGTTACAGCAGAGAACTATTCCAAATTCATTTTAAGCGCCGAAATCACGCTTGTAATGTTGCATAACAATGCTGCATAACGAAAACGATGTATTAGCGCTGTCGCGCTAATTATTGCCGATTCTGCCACTTTGTATTTTTACTCGATTCGCAAATAACATTTCCACTTAATCCTTTCACTGTGCAGAAGCGTGCATCTACGTCCGGAGAGTTTTTGGTATAATCGAAAGAAATGTTCTTAACATTTCCAATAATTGAAATAATTATAATTTTTACTTCGTCGCTGATTTGTAAAAAAATTCTTACAAGCTTTTCACTCACTCTATTACTCTGTCGTGCGAAATGTGCTTTCTTGTCGCACTATCCGCACTATTTTATTACGAACGCATCGCAATGAAAGGATTACTCGTATTGTAGTTAATCGCGCACAAATCTTGCAAGAAAATAGATGAACACGACTTACCGGCGGGCGATGTTATAGCGATCGATTGCTGCGCTGAATTGGAATTGCTACTGCTGTTCGTATTTAACTTCCTCAATTGCTTCTTATGCTTCATTCGCCGATTTTGGAACCATGTTTTCACTTGGGTTTCAGACAAATGTAACGCAGCCGCGAGCTCTACTCTCTCAGGCGTGCTCAGATATCTTTGTACTTCAAACCTTGCCTCCAAACCTGCCAGTTGTTGATCGCTAAACACCTGAAAATTGCCGAAAACAAATAATTTTTAGTCTTTCGTCAGCAATTTGGGGAAACGTTATCATCGCAATGGCGCACGGATTAAGTCGATTGGGATGAATTTTTTAATTTGTCCCGACTAACGATTTGGTGCTTCGTAAAAATTGATATAGCGTGTACGATTTATGAAACGTTATTTGCAAACGTTCATCCGATTTCGATGGCGAAAATGACGGAAGATGGGGAACGCTGCTTTGTTCTAGAATACTGAATGCTAGAAAGTGTACTTACGGTTCGAGCCTTTCGCCGCCGACAATGCTTCAAGGCTGCTAGTTCTCCGACACCCGGCACCACACCGACCCCCATGCCGGCGCTACCGAAAAGCGGGCCCAAAAAGAAAGCTGCGGCAGCGGGCGGTGCCGCGGGATAGCCAGGAAGCAGACTGGCGAATTGCTGATACTGATGATGCTGCTGCCCGTGTGCGGAGGTCGATGTCAAATGCTGATGATGTAACGGATGGTGGTGGGAATGCGGGGTGACGGTGCCGCGGCTAAGAATATCCTCAATGAGGAACGACGTCCTGCTGGCGGAAGTTCCGTTTTGACCTGCCTGAGCTTGTTGCTGCTGGCAGGTGGACTGCATCTTTTTTTTTCGCCTGCCGCGAGACTGGTTGCAACTGTGTGATGTGAGCGTCGATGTCTCGCGGTTACATTCTCGCAGCTCTGACGCTCGGCTTCTTGGCGACGGTGCCGCGCTGTCGCGGGATTTCGGAGATTAAATCTAACGAGATCCAACGCTTTTCAGTCAACGACAAATCCGCCGCATCCATTTGCTCGTGTGAGCGAGCGATCCTCCCCTCGGCGAAGCAATAATACAACTTCCGAAATCTTGCCCGCGTATACGTCACTGTTTCTCGTGCACTTTTCGGCACGAATAAGGTCGCGGATACCGCCCGGGCAATTACAGCTTCTCGCGCAATAAAGAAAAGATACGAGGAGCGAGGAGGAGTGTATCACTCTTGAAACGGATCACTTTCCCTTCCGTCGTACACGTCAACGTAAGACGACAGGGGTTCACGCGCGTACGTGCGCGCATTAACAACATCTTAGAAACGAAGTCTTACTCTTGCCTCGCTCGCGACTGGATAATTAAAGCCGGCGCTTATCTCGCTCGAGGATCTTGCTGGAAGTCTAATTGATCGCTGCGGATCATACTGGGATATGAATCGCGAGAAACACCGTCGTCGACTGTCGATCAGGCCTTATTCAACGACGTTTAAGGGAGTATCGGTGCGCGCGCGATGCGACACAGGGCGATTCAACCCCCTGCGCACGATCATCGGCAACCCCTCCCGCCTGGAACCGCTGCTTTGCAGTATCGCCGAAGAAGGATAAAGCTTGAGCCGGCTATCCAAGGCCGGCCTAACATCCGCATTGGCCCGTACACACCCGTCGAGCCTGGGTTGGCTGCGCGCGGTAGTTCCGGGGCGGGTCCCGGCCACTCGTTTCCATGGACACGCGCTCGGCTATTCATGAATCCGGTGGTACGTCCCTGCGAGGAGGAGGATGGCAAAAAGCGTGGGAGGAGGGACGGGATCCTTCTGTATATTCTCTCCATTCTATCGCTTACTCTTATATGTAGATAATAATGGTGCGCGCGTGTGTATATGTAAGAGTACGCACTCCCGCGGTAACTCTCACTTGCCCCTGTGATGTAGCTCTATCCGTTATACGTTCGCGACGCGACGCGAGGCGCGGCGACTCACCCGCTTGGTTCCGCTTTCAAAACGACTCGTTTCCGCCGTCCTCGTGCAGCAGCAGCAGGTATCAGGTTCTAATTTCAAAAGTGTCATTCTACATATGCGAACAGTGAAGATGTTCGAATTCTCTGATATTCCGCATACATGCAGATACGCGCGCACACACACACGCGCGCGTATACCTATATTGTCGCGACATTGCGCCTGCTTCGAATCTCTTCGTCAAATATAGTCGAGTTCCCCGCATGGTCGATACACCGCTTCGTGCCGCTTCGAAACGTATCGGTATTGAATCTTCGAAGAGAGGACGAGCAGAAACGTGGGATTAAATTACCTATGAAATCATGTATAGGTACAGTGCGCCTCTCCAAATGGCGGTGCACACGTCCGCGTCATCCCTGGCTGTAGGCGATAAACAAAGTACCAAGTAGTTGATGAGGACCGAATAGAGAAACGCACACGTTGACGCGTTCTAATATTAAATTATCGTCCGTAATAAGCATGACACTCTTGTCACGTCGGGAGGATGACGCAATGTATTAAAAAAGAGGAGCGGAAAAGGAAACGAGAAGAAGGGGGGGTGGAAAAGAGAGGAATCTTATATTTTAGCGGGTAACATATTTTGGTATTTGCAATAATCTCTTTCGACGGCTTTTACGCCGACAACGGCTATCGTCTGGCATAGCAACGTGACGACGGCCGGTATGATTAGGGTCGAGGGACGCGTGCCGACATTTAGACGGGGTTGCTTCTGCGATTATTGAGTAAATTAACGTCGCGGTAATTGCGTTATCGGCGCGTGTCCATCCATGCGTCCGTGTGCCCGCCTGCGCATCGGTGGCGTCGCTTGGCACGTCGCGTTACTTTGCCTCGCCTCGCCTCGCCTCATCTCACTCCCTCGATGCATTTACGACGAGGGCAGAGCCGGTCTCCGGTCTCGCTTATAAAGCCGAAAATCCATCGTCCGGGGTTTCGACGCGCTCTAAATCGTCCTTCACAAGCGAGTCCTCCAGGGACTCGTTAGACGAGAAAGCAACGAGGCACATTAACTTTCAAGTTCTTTATTATACTAATACATCGTAATACATTGTGCGACACGCGTTGTATAGTAGATTGCGCTCTAGCAGATATGCTTATTGGAACAAAAAATATTCTCTCTCTCTCTTTCATACACTCACACATTCTTTCTCTCTCTTTCTTTTTACAGTTTTACAAAATATACAAATATTCAAGCGACACATATATCTGAAAAAACTAGACTAGATATTTTATCCGTATTATGGATGCTGCTGCAATGCGATATGCAATCTCTCTTAATGTGTTTCTTAGCAAAAAGCAAGCACGCAAAGAACTGTATTAGCCAAAAATATTGTGATTAAAAATTGCGTGGTTAAATCTCGTCATCGTTGGACGCGCGCTTGTAGAAGGCACGGGAAAAGGTGGCAGGACCTTGCGAGCCGCAGAAGATGAAACCGCGTCGCCAGAAGGCGAAGAGCGCCATGCCGACCGGAATGGCGAGGAGCAAACCGATCAGCACGCCGACGAGTATCGCGGCGTCCTTTTCCGGTCTCGCGTCGTACAAATCCAAGCAGCGTAGGTGCCGATCGGTCAAAGATATGAGCTCTTCTTCCGCGAGTTCCGGCGGCGCGGAACAGGTGAGCTCGCTGACTTCGGCTCCCATTAACTTCTTGCCGTTTTGCTGCAACACGGTTCCGATCTGCGAAAGCAATTCGTTAGTCGCCGAACTCGATTCAGTTGAAATGAATGCGCTTGCGATAAGTTGCAGATTGATGCGGAACACTTGTTATCGATATTTCCTTCGATCGCAAGCAGCAACTGTCGGGACTCTTACTAGATATTGATTACGGCAATCGCAGCTCCACTGGTTGTGCTTCAGGTGCAACTCTTCGAGATTGTCCCATCTTCCAACGAGCAACATCGGTAAATATTGGAGAGCGTTGGACTCTAGATTCAGTATTTTCAATGGCGGCCATATCGTGCCCTCCGCAGTCTGCAATGTAGCAACGATTTTATATTATTTACTGGATTATCGAATCTCATCGTCAAATACCGCTGCATTCAACTTGTACACACCTTGCTCGCTATCGCGTACTCATCTATCTTTTCCAATTTCTCGCAATTTTGCACGTAGAGGTTCTCCAGGCCAGTTAACGCCGACAAGCCGCCGTTCCCAATTTCTGTCAAACTCGGCATTTCGCGTAGACTGAGTTCCTTCAGATTCGTCAAGTTTGGACAAGCGTTCGTGCGATCGATAACGCGTATCGGATTGGCATCTAAACGAAGATACTCCAAGGCCTTGGCATCTTCCAAGGCTCTGGGCAAAACTGTGAGCTCATTGTTAGTCAAGTCCAATCTTTTTAAATATCTACACAAAAATGGTGAAATCTCTTTTAAAGAATACACTTACACTTACTTTTAAAGAATACAAACACTTAACAGTGTTTTAAAGTAGCGCGTAACGAAGCTGTAATATTTACATCTGTTTTCGGTTTCTTACTTGGAATTGTGAAATTGAAAATTTGGCAGGTCCTTTAATCCGCAATAACTGATATCTAATTCCTCCAAGTATGATAAGCTACTGATCGCTATGGATGTACGATAGTCGATTACGCCAAAGGGATTTCCGGAGAGATTCAACACCTTAATGCCGACAAGATGCTCAAACACACTTTGATGTAACCAGTGGAGTATGTTACCAGCCAGGTTCAAAACTCTCAAATTTGACAAAGGCTCGTACGCTACTGGCGAGAATTTACCCTAAAAATTTACAGAAATAATCATCCAAATAACATGCATGTTAAAGACATCAGAGAGACGTCTAAAAAATGTCTTTTCGATGCTTTAAGACATGCGTGTAATTATTAAGTAATTTCACTGATAGTTAGCGAATAGATAAGAAATAGAAACAACTAGTAATTCATGTAATGGAAAGAATAGCAAGCTTTTTTTACGCTGAACGCAAATAGATAAATAGATAAACAAAAGAACATTGTCTACTGTTCTATGTAATATGAAAGTGTATTCTGTCATATCAGATTTGGAATAATGTTTGAAATAATTTTAAAAATTCAGCATTTTCCGCAAATAAATTTGAAACAATTTATTTTATTTATTTAAACCAAAACAAAAAAATTTTTTTTTAATTTATCTTACAAACCAGTATCAATTTTCGCTAAAATAAAACTGAGAAAAGAATGAACTTGTTTACTGGACTGTTCTTAAAGCTAATTAATATTATACGTCTGATTGTGAGCAGTAGAATTAATTAAATAAACTGAGCTGAAAAGCATCTTAATTTATTATTGATCAGTGAGTCATAGAGGAAGCTCTCTTCGCGTCCTTTGCTCTGATTTCAGCGTAATCTACGTACTAACTTGTAATACCGTTTCGTTACCTCGAAAACATGTGGCTGTAGGCGTTCCGACGTCAACTGATTATGACTCAAGTCCAATTCGGTAAGATTAACAAGTTCCTTGAAGGCGTGATAATCGATTACAGAGATTTTATTATTTCGCAGAATTAATTTCTCGACGATTATTTTTGGGAAAGATGTAACGTGCACTAAATCGTTATGCTCAAATAAAATTTCTTTGATCGTCGTATTTGGCCATTGAATATTTGTGAAGTGATTTTTTAAATTCCGGCTACTGCAGTTCACGAAGACATCTAAAATGTTTGCGTTCAAAGATAAACCTTATTTATTAATTAGCACTGTGACGATTTGAATTGTATTAACACCAGTTTTAACTACTACCTGTACAAGTACACACGGTACATAAACTTGCTGGTGTTGTTACAGAGATTTCCGTTTTAATCGCGTTTGAATCTGAAACTGTGATATTTACGGTATTTTCACACTTTACAAGAAAGAATATTGCGAGTAAAAACACCGACACTCGGAAATCCATCCTAGAGCAAAAGGGTGGCAAATGTAGACTCTCACAACGGCGTTAGCTAAAGATACTCTAACCGTATCAACGGGACATCGCATATGATAACAAAGCAATGCGATAAGATAACTCGATTGCACGTAATTACTCATCGTCCGCAGAAGTGAGGGAAGTAACACCAAGAAATAACTCTCCTTTCGAAGCGGTTACATAAATCATAAAGCGATGCTTTGACATATTTGTGACAGCGACTGAAACCTGAAATTGATTCTGTGTATCATTTGCTGTTTGATTATGAAAATTAATTAATTTATTTAGTACACGTGTGTTCTAAAATAATGATATTTTATATTAATAAGAATTTTATAATTTAAAAAATACTTAAAAAGTATCCTTAATTTAAAAAATGCTGATTTTAGTTAGAAGATGTAACAAAATTTAAATTATTTAAAGTAAACTATTGTGAATAATTAATTCTTTTACTTGAATAGCTAATCAATTTAAATCACAATTTCTCGATTTCCGATAAAATCTAAATTTGTGACATACGTAATAATCATGATAAAAATCACAACATTCTACTTGTACATAATCAAGTAGTAAATCTGATGTAGCGGAAGAACAGCGCAACAGAAGGAATTCACGTTTATAGAAATTGGGATAGTTGAGGATAGAAATATGTTAAGAATAAAAATGTGCGTGCTAATCCTCCGAAATACGAAAGTTCGATCGTATGTAGCTAAAATACGCCTGATAAATGTTTTTATTTTTTTTATTCAACAATCTAGTAAACACAAATAGTGACATAATGTTAATGTTATAATTTCCCGCTCAACGATATAATTGTTACGTACAAAACATGTTATATTGCGTTACATTGGGAAATTATAACATTAACGTTATGTTAGCTTGTGTTTACTGGGAAAAAAGTACATTTGGTACTCATGCTGCCTTTTAGTCGCGTCTTATGAACTTCAGTCGGTATAATAGATAATGCTGAAAACTAACCTGTATCGCTAACAGATAAAACAGATTACCTTCATATTATCAGTAGGTAAGTGAGAACGCGGTATGCGTGGCGCCATCTGACGTGCAACGGTGCACCTCAATAGCACCATCGCCGCGGTGAGAAACCTTCGCGAAAAGTATTGAATCGATGACGTCACAAAAGACGAGACAGTGGAAGGAGTAGATGGGATAGACGGTCGCGCGTTGAAAAATGTCCGGTTACTTAAATTTCTCGTCTACGTGAACGGGTGGTAAACAGACTCGCAATTGCGGTGGTACCGGCGCTACGAACGGACCGGCGTTGTTACGCTTTCGCCTGACTTTCGAAACGCTAGCACGTGTGCGAGAGACACAGGCTTCCAATTTTCCGGATCGCGTTAGATTATGACGGTTCGATCGCACCGTAAAGTCTTGATAAAATAAAACAAGTCAAGTGGCGTATCGTGTTGCGCGTGAAGGTGCCGCACATTGTGTACAGGATCGACGCCTCATGATAACCGGGTAAGAGATCGCCGATTTATTCGCGATCGACACGACGGAGACGATCAGCTCGTACGCGTATCTTATTTTCGTTTTTCACCTTCCACATTCGGCGGAGACGGCTGTGAGGTTAGGTTCGCCCGTTCGTTTTCAGAGCGCTAGAGACGAGTGAGCAGAGTGAACGCCCATTTTTCTCGAAAGGGAAACAAATTGCACGGGCGTGTGTTGTGCGAACCATGAGGATCGTGCCCTCGTGTATTTGCGTGCACACGAGCGGGCGTTATCATTATCTGTCTCGTTAATTGTCTCGATTGCGCGTTCTCGGGGTTAGCGTCATCGCGGCTATGTAAATATCGCAATGCCCCGTGATATTTTGTAGTGCTTTCGTCAGACTCGTGTTCGCCCTCTCGTTTGAATTTCGGACTTCACGTAACATAAAGGATCGATGAACGGTGAAAAACTGCGCTGAAATTCCAATGAATGTATGTAAACCGGGATACGTTTGCCGATAATATTGCTCCGCAAGTTTAATCGAGTTTTTGTATCATTTACATTCGTCCGACATTCTTGTATGAAAAAAAAGGTGATTATTTTGTAGCGCGAAAAGAGAATTCGAGAACGTTTCTTTTATACGAAAGTAAGATGACGCGGCTTTATGATCATTATTGGATGCGTAATGCAAGTAAACAAGTGTCACCTACGAGCAACGCGCCGATAGAGCGAGATGAGACGAGACATATTTCGATACTGCTACGATCAACTCTGATTTGACTATACATCTGTTTCATCTCGATATGACGCTCGTATGTGTCTGCTTGTTGAAATATGCCGAGCTGTAATTGCTGTGCAATTATTTTTTTATCTGCTATGACACGTTACACATGCATCGTGGAAATTATTCTAGCTATTATCGAACAGTTGGAAAGAAGCGAAAAAAGGAGGCGCGGTCCGCTTCTGCGAGCATAACATCCGTAGGGCGTGTTTTAACTGCGGCTTTTCTGCGCGGCGGTGACTTGCGTAGATCGCGCAGGTTAGCTTAGTCAATGATCGACGGGAAGTAAACAGTGCCGGTAGACGACCGCGTTTATTTGCGTTTAACCGCGTTTTTAAAGCGATAGACACGTGTTCGTCAAGCCGCGGTTGTCCTTAAAAGTTATTTGCGCAATAAACATCACCTGTTTCTTGGTGCTTCGCTTATACGTTTCGACAATGTTTATCGTAAGAATTTTTAAACGCTCGATTGCTTGAGCGATAATCTGTCGGGTTTCGTAATTATGATAAATTGATCGTAAAAGATCGATGAATAATGATCTCATAAATGAGAAAAATATTTTCTTTCACTCGCGTAAAAATTGCCATCACTATGTTCTCTTCGTATTTATAAAAATATTGATATTAACGGAGTATTAAATTCTTTGTTTTAAAAAACAGGTTGTAAATCGTTGGAATATTTCGCTGCGTCGCGTTTCCTCTAGTTACTTTTCGAGAGACTATTCATTGCGAAAAATACGCATCGTTCGAAATCGATGGAAGCCCTAACGCCGATGGCGCCGATGCCGTCTAATGATGACATTTAAATGCGATGCCGCATCGTTCGATTGTTCGCGCGGCGCGCTGACAGTAAATTTTGCACCTCCGTTCTTTTTTCCCTATTTTGTCTTTATTTTCCCTCTTTCTTTCCATTCCGCGTTTCTTATTTTCTTTTAATTTTCTTAAATTCTTACAAGACATGATAACTCCGGCGAAATTTAATAACTCAATAATGTATATTATAAATAAACTCGAATTTTATCGTAATTTGTTTTTTTTTTTCCCTAGTGTATGCCGATTAAAGGGGTTTGACCGAGGTTATTAAATAAGTGGCCGGTTGGAGACGCAGGAGTACGAGCTGCGAGGAATTCAGATGAGAATGGAGATTGCCAAGGAGGAATGATAGGTAAGTTCGCTTACAGAAATAACAATATCGACTGAAAGAACGCCGAATGTATGAAAACATGCAACACAGGATGCAAGAAGGCAACACCGCCGTTGCGCTAGCGATGGTGACTCCTGGGTACGATCAAGACCCTGCGAGCGGGGTTGCGGACTACACGACTCATCAGGATCAAGCGCAATTCGAAGCTGACAAAAGAGCTGTATATAAGCATCCACTCTTCCCGTTACTGGCGTTACTCTTCGAAAGATGCGAGCAGGCGACTCAGAGCTCGGACAACTCCACGTCCGAAAGCTTCAACATGGATATACAGGCTTTCGTCCAACACCAAGAAAGAGACCGAAAGCCTTTCCTAATCAATGACCCCGAGATTGACGGTTTGGTAAGAACTGAAAATGTTTTTTTTTACTATTCGTTATTGTTGGAACGCGAGCTTTTCGAAATCACGGTCGAAACAAATAGAAAACAAACGAGGCGAGAGAAAAAAAGACGATCGGCTAAATAAATGTTGACGAATTCTTGTTTCTCATTGACATTACAGATGATCGGCTAAACGAAGGTTAATGAATTCTTGTTTCTCACTGACATTGCAGATGATCAAGGCGATACAGGTGCTGCGCATTCACCTCCTGGAATTGGAGAAGGTACAAGAGCTGTGCAAAGACTTTTGCAACAGGTATATTACGTGTTTGAAAGGCAAGATGCAAAGCGAAAACTTGCTACGCAGCGACTACAGCCACCATGGACACGACATGGGTCCGTCGAGTGGAAGCAATGGCAGCAGTCCGTTGCAGGTTAGACAGTTGTCTGATATGCCGATATTGATATGCGAAGCGAGACTCCCCGCTGTCTGTCTATCCCCCTACCAACGTAGATATCCTTATAGTTGAAGGGATGTAGGCGTGAGTGGCTAGTAAGACGAAAATGAAAAGAAACGCTTGTCGTCGCTTAGACGGAATTGTTATTAACGATGCTTTTCGAAGCGATATACTGCCACGAGCGTACGCGTACATCTCTTGAGATATTACAAGATTCCCATCCCTGCTCTCTGACGGCTAGTTGAGACATATATTTGCCAGGTGCTGTCATCTACAGGCAATGATGTTGAGTCGGGAGCTAACGGATTCAGAGTGAGCCGAGGGGATTCCGTGGCGGAGAACGACGGCGCAAATTTGCTTGCGCGAGAAGAGAGCATTAATCATGATCAACCGTCGTCGGTCCGATCGTCTTCTGCCGTCCAGCGCTCGGGCAAATCCACTAGCCAAGACCACGACGATCCCCTCTCACCGTCCGCGGTACATGGAAGCACGCCTCTCTCGCAAATCGGGGCACATGGATGCGTCCCGGCTAACGACATGTATCTTGGCCAAGGTAAGTCGATGCGACGCTACCAGAAGTCGCTGTATCCGTTCGTTTCCCATCGCGTTCTTGCGGATTGAACATAAATCGAATGTCGCCTCTCAACTATTTTGACCAATTCGTCGATGTCAGGAATTAGCAGGTTTACAACACTTTTTGCTGTTCTTTTTTTTTTACTGGGATCAGTAAAAATGCCAGTGACATGCCGACTACAATTTTATATCGAGTCGCTTGTTAAAATTCCATTTATAGATGACAGTGTCGACTATCTGCAGACTATCTCCGACAGAATATACTTGGAAGAAGCTGGATACTGGGGACTTATCGCGTTGCGAGAGCGAGAAAAAGAATACGCAGACGTTGCAAGCGCTAACAATGAAAAGTATTTCGGTTAGGAATAATGATGTATTTCTCCCACGCGCGGAAAAAATTTTCTTGCCGATATCTCAACGCGAATTATATCATATTGTGTTGCGGATTACGAGTGTAACAAACACGTCGATCGTGTTTAGATATTACTGTCGCAGGCTCACCTTCTCCCGCGGCGAGCGAAGACGAGGACGAAAGTGTCAGCAATACTGCTTCGAATCACGGTGGGAGTCATAGAAGTAGTCATGGTAGCGCTAGAAAGGGACGTCAGAAGCGGGGTGTCTTGCCTAAACACGCCACTGGCATTATGCGGACGTGGCTCTTTCAGCATTTAGTTGTAAGTATTCGCTAATAACGCTTACCACCGAACCAAATAACACTTGACACATTCAATAATACAATCTTACGACCGAACGTGAATTTATTACAGCATCCTTACCCCACCGAAGATGAAAAGCGTCAAATCGCCAGTCAAACAAATTTAACATTACTACAAGTAAACAATTGGTTTATCAATGCTCGTCGGCGAATTCTGCAGCCCATGCTGGACGGTGCGGGCGCAGATGCGACATCGCGTGCGGGGAAGCGTCATAAAGTTTCAAAACACGCTGTACAGCAACAAGCGGCTCAACAACAGCAACAAACGGACTGGCAGTCCGAAGATTCAGCAAGTGATTCAGGTTCTAGCGACGGTGAGGGAGGAGCTGCTAGATCGAAAGACGGTAACGATAGCGATGAAGATGATCTTCACTGACCTCTGTCGATCACCGAAACGTCAACCTCTTTACGGTACCTTCAAATCCAGTTGCTCATTACAGTATTAAGGTATTCGGGAATAGATATCGCTTTAACTGTCAGATACGTAATTAATCTCGTGAAAGTTAAGAATACGTGGGTAGAGGTTATCACGCTCTCTGACCATTCATCAGCTACGCAATCGTCGGTTTTCTTATAATAGCTGATAGGTGATTTTTAATCTCGGCTCATATTACCCACATATATTAACTTAATGTTGGATGAAAAATGGAGACGAGAACTGAGATTCAGTAGGTACTAAAAAGAGCAGCTAACTTAAATACACCTAACTCAGACGAAAAAAGAAAAATGTTTACATTAAATGTTATTTATTTTTCGATGACAAATTTTTTAGTGCGCGATTAGTGAAGATAAATCTGAGCTTATTTTGAAAAAGTACATTGTTTTTATTAATTTAGTTATCTCGTTTGTGACAAAAGTATGTCCCCGATGACAATTATTTATATAACACAATGTATTTAAAATAAATATCTTGTTTTATTATAATACATGTTAACGATTCAACGGGTAAAGATTTATCACGAAAGCAATTCTTTTCTTTTTCATTCTTTACTTAACAATTCTCGGCTATCGAACAATTTTCCCTTTTGCACATTATCGACGTACAGTTATCTCATTGTCAACTTTTCGTGCATAATTTCAACATACGTACAATAAAGCAAAGCAGATAAAATCAAATATTTATTCTTTGTTAGTTTCACGAAATATTTCTCTATTATTATTCTTCTCATTAATATTGTTACCACTCTATTCCGCTATTATTACAATTATTATATCACTACCGCCACCACCAATAATGGTATATCACTCTCTCTGCTATCGCTATTTCTTCCATTACTACTATTACTATACTATTATTTCTGTTATCATTGCCAGTGCTGTTACTACTACTACACCTACTACTACTATTACTACTACTACTACTATTAGCGCTTTCGCTAAACGCTACTGCTATTAATACTACTACTATTACTAATACTACTACTATTACTACTATTACTACTACTACTATTACCACTACTATTCCTATTCCTATTACTATTATCAATACCTATACTATTTCTAATATAATTGTTATTTTTGTGTCGAAAAAAAAATACCACCCACATATTTTCTGTTCGCAATTATAATTCGCGTAAGCTTATTGGGATAGACTTTCATTTTTTTTTTTTTCTTTCTTTCTTTCTTTTTCACAACTTGCGTATGACGATTTTTGATACGGACAGCAACCGACCGTTGAGACGGCAACCGACCGTTGCCCCAATGCTAATTGAAAACTGGAAGTTATTTGATTAGACGTATTATATTGACATATTTATGAAAGATTAACATGAGTATGGATAGATTTTGAAATTAGATGAGAAACCTACAGTATAATTCTTGATTGTACTTTTTGTGCCATTAAAGAGCGTGGTAACTTCCGCATATTAGTCTTTGTTCAGCTCTGCAGTATCGCGGCATAGCGAAATGCTGTCCCTCCATGATAATAATAATAATAATTAATAATAATAATAATAATATTAATAGTAATACATCTAATAATGAGTTATCATGCTATTGATAATGATAATAATTATAATTATAATTGTAATAATGATGATAATAATGATACATAGTAATTACAATAAAAAATAGTAATTACAATAAAAACAATTACACAGCAGCAGCAGCAACACACAACACAATGATGATATAATGCTACTTTAAATATATGATGATTATATTTTTAAACTCTAAGTGTCGTCCCTAAACGTGTATTACACGTTACATGATACTACTGTACATATTACATGCGAAACTGTTAATAAAACAGAGAGAGAGAGAGAGAGAGAGAGAGAGAGAGAGAGAGAGAGAGAGAGAGAGAGAGAGAAAGATAAAGCGAAAGAAAAAATATTATTAAGTGTGTAAAAGAAAAGTCAACACTTTTCTCGTAACTGAAAAATTGGATATTTGACGACATACACGCCATTTTAGAATATTAATATTCATACTCTGGCTGTCTACATGTGATTATTACGTTTTACTATCAATAACAATTTTCTTTTCGCGTACTTTAATGCAGAAGCTGCTTTGTTTCGAGATCTTCTCGAGCCAAGGAAGCTTCTTCTCCAGTTTCTCTTTGCGAGCCCGGCAACTTTTTGGCATTCTCTTGTAAACTCTGAACCCGCTCTCGTTAATATACTCGTGTACATACCGTCCGCCCCCCCCCCCCCCGATGCACACATGCGTGTATATTTATGCTTTTCTAATCTATTATTTCCACGCGATCCGTCCATCAAGATTTAAAATGGTCGGCGAACCATTTTACCTTGTTACCGCAGCATTAGATTCGACGTAAACGTAACGTAGCGGAAATTAGTTGTTCCAAGTTGACAATTCCGCGAAGAGACGTCAATCATCTTTCTCTTAACGAATAACAGGCTATTGGACGTGGAATTATCGGTTCGGCTTAGTTTTATCTTGATTCTTCAATATTAACACCGTCATCTTTTTGTTTGTTTGTTTTTTTCAAGAATCAGTTATCGATAAGCAAACTGGCACTAGTCACTCGAAGGTTCGTAGAAGGAAAATGTGTCATATAATGCAATCTGTTGAAGCGATTGCCTTAAGTAGTCAAATATGATTTCCTCTGTACTTATACTCTCCTCTTACGTTGAGTCTCTCTCCCATGTATATAGCCAATTGACAGAGTGCTTCCATTTAATAGCTTGCGACTTATTCAGATCGAATAAACCGTAGTCTTTTTATATATATTTTTTTTTTTAAACATACCGATTTTTGTACGCAATAAAGTTCGCTTGCTCGTTTGACCATGATTTTTACATAATATCATGCGCGATATATGAATAAAACGTGATATATAACTTGAGTAAAACGACATTATCAGTTGCAGACAGCTGACAGTATAGCTCTGTATACGGTGTCGTAACATCAATTCGTCTAAAGTAATAGCAATTGCAGTACAATGACATTAAGGAAAGAAAATTGGAAAATATTACTTGGCATTGTTCCGTGTTCTTTTAATAAAGAAAACCATTTGCTCAGACAATTGACGACGAGGGGGCCCTCATCGTCGACTGTCATCGATAAATCCTATATTAACGAAACAATATGTAATCCAACAAAGTGATGAATAAATAATCATTTTTCTAAGTACTCATTGCTTCAACGGATCGCCTCGTACGGGACTATACTGTGTTTGAAATAAACGTAGGATAAGACTTAGATTAAGAAATAGGCTGTAAGGTTGAACCACGTATACGTATGTGCTGCGGCACCAGGCGACTGTGATAATTCGGTGGGCGGTGCCCAGCCTCCTACTTTATCCTTGTATACTAAAAATTAGTTAAAGAAAGCGTAACATAATTACCGAAGAGGTTGAACGTATATCGGGACGTGTGCGTTGTGGAATGATTTCATCTATATGTAACGTGGATAAAAGTCAAAACAAAAAAAAAACGCGCACTTGACATATTTTCACTACACTTTCGTTTTCTTCTTTTTTTGCATGGGTATCCGTATGAGAGTATTATGACGCGCGCATACTTTATACGGTAAAAAAAAAAAACGTAAAATATTTGCCGCATTAACGCGTTGATGCGAAAATTATCTATCGAAAACTAGATTAAAAAAGAAACATAAAGGTAGCGATGGGCCGATAGAATGTAGCTGCCCAATAATGACAGATAGTCTACGATTATTTATACTTGATGGTAAACTTTTCGAATTTCGCCAGAAGTTTATAAACGTGGCTTTAAAAAAAATGTATTCGCTCTAATATCTTATGAATAATTCACTTTTATTCTGATTTTCATAGAACGCAACAATATTTGTAAAGCACAATCGTGTGACGAGATGCAGATTGATTTCATAATTACGTCTTCTAATGTACATTTTTCTCGAATCAAGCTCAATCGTTTTCCCCGTAGAAAACCGATGGCCCATTTCTAGCTTTGTCCAAATTTTAAGTCGTAAATGAAACATATTATATACTTACATGCATACTAAAAAGAAAAGCATAGATATACAAATTAAATACTTCTTTCCCGTGTACATCAAAGCCCTGTTAAATAAGTTGTTTATCGATAATAAACGCCATCACGCTTGCATTATTTCTTTTTTATTCGTACCGCAACTGTATATAAGATTTATTACATTTACTAATACTGTTGATATATTTATTTATCATATACATATCTGCATTATATTTCATTTCACGGTTTTAATGAAGAACATTACGTTGTCATATACAAAGTAAAAATTATGAAGAAAAAATGCAACTTGAAACCTTTATCTCTTATGCCAAATTAAGTGAATAAATATTGTACACTTTATATTATCTTTTAAAAAATTGATTTTTTATATATATATATACGTACATACACACGCGTGTGCTCGCAAAGCTGTTACATCTTTAGAACTTCTCGCTTCTGTCATCTAATCATCTTATATATAATTTTTATAAATTACTTAGATATTTATTAGTTATTTAGTTCACAATCGAAATGAAACAATATTATATACCAAGAAAAAAAAGAGTGCAGAAGAGGAAGAATTTCCTTACAAATTCATAATTTACATTAAAATATTAAAGACGCATCACTGATTTATCACTCATTTATCCGAATCGAACGCGATACATGTAAAACGATGACGATAAATAAGATAATCGTAACAATGGTAATAACGTGGCCTATTTGAATATTTTCAATGTTGAATTAGAAAAAAATCGTCCGAGGGCGCACCACACATACAATTAAAGGCTAGTTATTGGGACATCTTGATCTTCTCGATGATCTAACCTGATCATATATATGTGGTCCGCGTCGTATCCCTAGCAATCGACAGTTCTCCTGAAATAAAAATGTTATCAATAATATATATGATATACAGTTTGTTTGAATCCTTTTGTGCGAGACAATACAAACCTCGAATTGAATAAGACATCAGCTCGATTATTGATGAACCACACTAACGCGAATGAACTGGTGGCGACTAAACTGCCCAGAATTATACTGAGGCGTTCTGTTGCTGCTGAGGGTTTGAGAAACATTCTAACTTTTAACGTTTGCCATGTGGATTCCGTCCAGGTCGAATAGACACCTGATTTCATATTGTATCCTATGACAGAGAAACTTAGTTAGAGAAATCCATCAAATTATATCTATCACAAGTAGTGTAATCAACAATCTACCTTCGATGATAAACGCCGGACTCACAGCCGTGCTATAATTAACTGTTGAATTTATGCATAATCCCGTAAAATTGTTTCCGCCCAACCAACTCAGGCGATTTGCATGGCATGTTGTTTCGTTCATTTCCGAAAGTTTCTCGCCGGTCAGGTAGACTAAAAGCTGGCCCGTTAAAGTTGTCGCTAAATTAGGTGCTCTGTACACACCGACGTACATCGACAAAACCTGATTGATCAATTTAGTGCCGGGTGTTGAAGCAGCGTAAAACAGATCGCACTTGGCAGTTTCCAAATAACAATACAGCATTTCCGCGATAAGATCTTCCACCGATGTCGATAGGTCGGCGGCGGCGGCGGTTCGCGGTGCCAGCTCACCCGTCACTGTCTGGTAAAGCTCATTAGCAACCTGAATAGCGATTTTCGCTAAATGCGATGGAAGCGTGCTGTCGTTTCTAAAACATGACACAGAAAAAAATCTCAACGATGCGAAATTATCCCGTTAGGATCAAACGAGTTATAATAGTTACCTGTTATAATTAAGACTTTCTGCATCGTCCAAGATACCGTTGTAGTAACGATTCACAAATTGCTCTCCGTGATTGCTTATAACAACGGTCGTTAGATTCGGTTTTGCTTCCAGGAAACTCTGCACAGACGTGGGTGGAACGCTGTTTTTAATAGAGGTTGCGTTGAGTGCCTTCTGCAAGCGATTTATCATATCGTCTTTGCCGTTGCTGTGAAGGAATGTCTCTCCTTTACTCAACTGACCGAATTCGATTATGCTCTTGATATCGTCCAATTTCAAGTTGACTCCGCCGAGAGCGTTAAAGTTGTTCTGCTTCAAATCATATACCATACGACTAGATCCTATGTAATCAAATGCCTCCCCGTTCAGCAATGAAAATACAACATTTGTCTCTGGAAATATAAGAGAAATAAATATATGGATATTGCACACGCATGACATTACAATTGTGAAAAAGAACCGACACTTACTATCGACTGTGGCGTTCAAGAGATTCAAGTAATATGCAGTGGCGAGAAATGTAACCAGTCCTGTTACGACATTACCCGCGCCGGGTGATAAGTCATCGAATAATGACGACGCATCTAATCGTGCCGTTACCATTATCACAGTATTATTACTCTCGTCGAGAGGCGCTAAAGGCCAATGTATATTTCTGTCTCCAAGTGGATCGCAAAATTGTGTTGGATTAAAGTTTAACGATATATCAGTACGTCTTATACAAGATTCCGAGTTGACAGCGGCAAACATGAACGATTTCATTTCTATAGCGCAGAGAGACCTTTGATACTGCGTTTCTAGATCATGAGCGTTATGTTCCCGAAAACAAGACCGCACAACTTCCAAGACTGTCTGATTCTGAAAATATGATCACTTAATATTTAATAAATTCCATGCCAGATATATGCCAATATGATTTTATAGATATCTAACCTCTGTGTAAAACATAGGGAATGGCCAATCCTCCATGAGTAATGCGGATCCAAAAGGATTCCACGGATGTGCGTCGTTACATTTCTTATAACCAGAATATCGATTCGGACATGCGTCATCGGGCGAATAATTCGATACAGTATAGCTGATATTTCTGGTTAACAACACTCCATTTATATTATTTGTATTTCGGAGCCTGACAAGTCTCTCCTTAGTAAACATTTTAAACGGAAGGACTACAGTGTATGGACCAGCTGTGGCGTTTCTTTCTATCCAAGTAATATCTTCATCTGCATCGATCAGATGCACAACACCTACGCTTCCCAATCTATTAGCTGCAAGGGAAAAAAATGTAAATCTTTCTATCAAAAAAATTGAAAAATATAGATTAATTTCATGTGAGAGTAATACACAAGAGGATGAAATTCTAATCCTTACAGGAACATCCAAACTGATGCGTGCCATTGTGTCTTCTGAAGCAAGCAGCTACACCCTCCAAAGGCATGTAAATCATATCCTTTATTCTTTCAGCAGCCACTTTAAATTAGATTTTTAGATTGATTATTTTTTATAATTGAGCAGTACTAAATCGCGCATGAAATATGAATTTACACTTACCTGAATTTATAATAATAAAGACTAGAACATACTTCCATGTTTTCGCTGCCATTTTTTATTATCGCATATATTCGGTTTGTAATCAATTAATCGAGATACTAACTGTTATTTACTTTTTATTTTGACGCATCACAAATGTGGAATAAAAACAATTAACAACGATATCTCGCGTGAGTCATTTCGTGAAGTTCACGAAAATGTTATTTAGAATTCTCAAACTGAGCTCTTGCGTTTCAATAAAACAACCTAAATTTATTTCAACTGCTAAAAGCCTAACAAGCTAAACTTTTAATGAATCAAAGACAAAAGAAACCTGTCAAATGTTACACAGTTACCAAACAATAACCTTACACTTTCCACTTGGCTACTGACATACTGATTGGACAGAACACTCCATTATCCCCATATTCGTATTCTGAAACTCTGACTCTGTCGGATGCAATCGATACGATATACATTACAGTTATAGAAGTACTCTGCATTATCAACCGTGTGTCATGAAAAGTAAAAAGAAAACAGATGTGCATTTAGTGAAGATTCACACTGCGTCTGCATACGGCGTACAACATTCCGTATCCAATAAAAAAATTTTATTTTCTAGGGACCGAATATAATCTTGAAATGTCTAAAAAGCGCATTTTCCTATTGAAAGCAGCGATGGTAGAATATATATATATATATTTTAATGTATGTATGTTGAACATATACATGCATGTGAACCTAACCAAACATTCATATGGATTCCTCATGTATGAATGCTTCATACGTGACACACAGGGACATTTTTTGGACGTGTATATTGTGTTAATTAAAATTTGTCCACAATATCGAAAAGTAATTTAACTAGTATCCATCAGCCAATCAGAAATTGTCCATAAATATGGAGAAGCAATATGGCTGCTAAAATTATGCGCAATACGTGCATTAACCTTGTCTTTTTTTATCATAGTACTTCATTCGTGCTTTTCCTCGTACATTCCACCAATGTTCACAACAATGGTCGTGCCGGTTACGTTTTAGGTTAAATCACTCGCATGATCTCCTATAGTTTATAAACTTTGTAATAGAGAGAAAATGGACAATAAAATAACGATATGTGATCCCGATGAAGAAGAAATAGATAATGATATATTACATGATATCGAACCAGCTATGTGGATCAATGACGATCCGAATTACGATTTGGATGAAATTAACATGTTTTTTCACAGAGTTGATTCGGATCAAATAATATATGAGGAAAAAAAGAAAAAGTGTAAATTTATCGGTAAATATGTCATGGGTGATGTTCTTGGTGAAGGTAGTTATGGAAAAGTGAAAGAAGTGCTAGATTCGCAAACACTTTGCCGACGAGCAGTCAAAATTCTAAAAAAAAGAAAACTTCGGAGGATACCGAATGGAGAACAGAATGTTCAACGGTATGTTCGACGTGTGCATTTTTTCATGAATTCGATACCAGTATGTATTATACTGTATTTGAGAATTTTCATCAATTAGTGTACAAATGCAATAGGCTGTCACGAATTCTTTTCTATTTCTTGTTCGCATTTGACGTTAATTAATGTTTGATTGTATTTATTCGCAGAGAAATAAAATTATTAAGGCTATTAAAACATAAGAATGTAATAAATCTCGTAGATGTTTTATATAGTGACGAGAAAGAGAAAATGTATCTAGTTATGGAATTTTGTGTATGTGGATTACAGGTAAATTTTAATAAGTGCTCCTATTTTTACTGTTTTAAACAAATTTATTGCTATTACACAAATATATGTATCAGAAACAATTTAAATTAAGTAATTAAATTTTAAGTACTATTTTTTACGCTAATCTCAAGTTATTTCTCTTATTAGCGCAGAAAGATATTTAACATTTCATTAATGTTGTATTTTTTGTATGTTCAACTGAAATACATAAAGAATCATTAGATGATGCACATAAATAAAGCTCCTTGTAATTTTGTTTCGAATAACTTTGCATATACATGACAAAAATTGACATAAGCATAATACTTTTAATAATTTAAATTTGATATCTATAATAATGGCTTGCATGAATTAACAACAATTAGATTTTCTATTTATTAGATCCTTTACAGGATATGTTGGAAAGTATACCAACCAAGAAGCTTCCTCTTTGGCAGGCACATGATTATTTCTGTCAGTTGTTGGATGGTTTAGAATATCTTTACAGCAAAGGAATAGTTCACAAAGACATAAAACCTGGAAATTTGTTATTAACTTTAGATGATACCTTAAAAATTAGTGATTTTGGTGTTGCAGAGGTACAGAAGATCTATTTATATTTTTTTTACTTTAGTCTACAAGTATATATGCAGTTTTTATCATTATAAAGGCTGGTAAAAAAAGCAGATGTTTGCTTTTATGAAAAAAATATCAATGAATAAAATGTACTTATTTAAAAAATATGAAACATATATGTACTTTGCAATCATTTGTATTTTATTCCTATTACGCATCTTCATTGCTAGGCATTAGACATGTTTTCCAAAGATGATACATGCACGATAGGTCAAGGATCCCCAGCATTTCAACCACCCGAAATTGCAAATGGCTGCGAAAGTTTCTCGGGTTTTAAAGTAGATATATGGAGTAGTGGAGTTACATTGTAAGTAACACTTGTATAATATTACACGAAGAGCGAAGTAGTATATCCGTATTTTTTTAGGTACAACATAACAACAGGTGTATATCCTTTTGAAGGAGATAATATATATAAATTGTATGAAAATATTGGAAGAGGGGAATATACTATACCAAAAGAAATAGAGGAACCATTAAAATCGCTTATAGAAGGAATGTTACAGAAAGAAGCAGATAAGAGATTTACATTGCAACAGGTTAAGAGACACGCTTGGACCATATGCAAGCATCCTAAAACACAGAAGGAAGTACCTCTACCTCCACTTAGAAGCAATGGATGCCACAGTATGACTGTTTTGCCATACTTGATGGAGTACCATTACGGAGTCGATGACAATCCTATATACTATACAGAACATCAGCTAAATGGTAAGCGTATTGATGATATTGTTTTATATTTCAAATTAATTATTAAATTTTAATCATGACAACAATACAAAGCTTTAATAAAAGCTCTATTGTGATATATATAGAAAATGAATTACATTTTTTCCATTGTTTAGCATTATAAGAAAGTTTAAAAGCCGTTTTCTTTTCAGAAGAACGAAGACTTCAAGAACTGGATCGTATTAGCGAGGATAAAAAAGCCACGTGTAACAGCCATCACAACAAAGCTAACACAAATAATCAAAACAAACGAAGATGGCGCAAACCAATTTCATGTATTAGTATTAAGAGATTTCCATCCTGCAAACCATCGTGATTTTGCTAATCATGTCAAATATTTTTTGTTCATATTTCACTGGCCAGGCGCGTGCGCCAGTTGTAAAGTTTCTCCGTGGTGGAGACGACTGAAAAAGCTCGAAAAATGCTGAGCAGTATACGAGATGTATATCCAGCTACAGCACTAATAGAATGTAAAGCTTTTGAGTCACTTCAAAAGTGTTGGATATAAACATTTGTGATATTAAGATTAAATATTGTAACGAATAATTCACAATACCCTGATTAATTATTCACTAAAGCGTTTAATCAAAGTTATAAGTTTCGTTTTGGTGCCATATTGACTGCGATTAATAAAATTGTTAATCGCTACAAGTTTTCTGTATTATTATTTATGTAAATTCAATAATGTTATAGAAATGTATATTTAATTATTTAATATAGAATATATTTTGAGAGAGAGAGAGAGATGATTCTTTGATATATAAAGGTAAGTCAGATTAGATCATTTATTAAAAGGATTCAAATTTTTTCCAAATTTACTTTAATAATTGACTACTAATTGGCTTGTTTAATCTATTTTTGTCTGATTTAATCGATTTCAAAAGGCAATATATCTATTCTCTTCTATTATTCAAAACTAGTGTAAGCGCGGAGCACACGTGTACGTGGCTCTTGATTGTGTACTACGTTATTTCTGGTTATCCCCTCCATTATGGTTTACGCGGAGTCGAGTTTCCATTCTGGTATCACTATTCCGACTGTTCCCGCTCCTTGTCATCCACTACTTTAAAGCAAAATGGACGCACGCACGTATCGAGAGAGAGAGAAAGAGTTATCAGCTGTTCGATGATACAAAGCCGGTTTTCTTAATGTATGAAAGAGATTGAAATCGTTAGGTACATATTTATTTATTCTTTTATAAATAGGTTTTATTTTGTGTATATTTCACAATATACTTAATTCTTTCAGATAATTATACGCAAAATGGATAGTAGTGTGACTAACATTGCGACAATGGGACCTGAGCAAATAAAAAACTTTCATCAGACACTACTAAATAATGCGTTCACGCAGGTATTATATCTCATTAATTTTCATAATTAAATTTTAGATAATGTTACAGCATACTTTATTCATTACATTTTCAAAATCGCTGATATGTTACAGAGACTTGAACAAAATAAAAGGCAAATTGAAACATTAAATGACTATAAGAAGAGACACGAAAAGGTGATAGAAGGGCTTCAAGTGTATCCATTATCTGTCTCAGAAAATTGTATGGTACCTATTGGCAAACGGGCATTAATGAAAGGAAAATTAATTCATACTAATGAAATTTTAGTTTGTTTGGGAGATGGTTATTTCGCAAAATATAGCGCACCACAGGCGATCTCGGTGTGCAACAGGAGAATAGCATGTATAAATGTCATACATATGTTTTTGTTGATTATTTTAGATTAAATATTACAACCGTTATATATTTTTATCAATTAGGGGCGGATACAATGTTGAAAAGTTTAGAAGCAGAAAGAAACTTGTACGAGACGAGGCAAATTCTTCCATTGCAATATGATCTTTTTGGAGATGGAGATAGAAAAGATCTATTGGAACATTGGGACGAAGACAAGCTTGATGATTGGCGGGGTAAAGAATATTCATATGTATTTTTATAAGTATATGTTATCGCTTATTGTGTCAATTTTAACAAAATACGTTTCTATAGTTCTACATAGACAGCGTGAAAAGGAGTACCATCAGAAATTAGCAAAATTAAGAGAACAGGAAAAGACAGAGATTCGTACCGAGGAGGATCTTTTAAAGAGACTTGATGAATTAGAATTGGAAGAAGAACTAGAAGATGAAATATACAGGTTAATTACACACATATATGCAATTAAAACTTACCAATAGTTGTATTGTAACTAATCCACTTAAAATCTTATAATTGCAGACTAGAAGCTGAACAGAAAAAATTTTATAACGATGATTTGCAAGAAGGTGAAGTTTATGATGAGTCAGAGGAGGACGATTCATCTGATTGTGATGAAATCACAGCAGAAAAGATTGAAGAGGAATTAAAGAAATTGAAGAATATTCAAATGAACAAATATATAAAAAACACATCAAATGTCTGTTCTGAGGTAACTCAAGATACGACACTTGACAAAAATGAACAGTCCAGTCTCGCTGCGCATTCTAGTCAAGACAAATTAAAGGAAAATTACTTATCCGAGCTTGGGGATGTATCTGAAGACACAAGCTTGAAGAAGAGGAGAGTATCATTTGTTGAACCATGTGCTATGGAAAATGATACGAAAGAAGAAATACCAATATCTCAAAAATCTTGCTCCGTTCTGAAGCAAAATTGCACACATAATGAAGATTCTAAGGAAGAGGATGATATTATTCAGATTGAGTTTTCACATTCATCATGCGCTCCAAATATACCTGAATCAAATAACGTAGAAATACAAAGTCCAACGGATATCTATAAAATGTTTTGTGCTCCAAAATCCATTTTAAAAAGATCTCCAAATGATATGATTCCTAATCAAATTGCTCCTCCTTTAGACGAAGACAGCAATACAGAGACAGAAGATGAAGATGATCATGTTAAACCTTCTGCATACAATTCCGTGGGTAGAAATGTAATAGTAATAATTTAATATGAAATATATATTTATATATACTGTATTTTACAGGTCATTAAAGAAGTTCAAGAAAGTAAAGTGTCGACAATGAATACTTTAGAGAAAGATAAAAAGAAGATTGTAAGTAGATTTAAACTTGAAAGAGCTGCAAGGAAGAAGTGATGTAAATATATTATAATTTTTGTTTGCACAAAATACACGTATACATTTTCTAAGAACATACTTATAATTGAATTGCGTGAAAGTTACCGGATAAAATTAGAAATTTTTTGTTATAAAACAAATTATATAAAGATTGTCTCTCTCATACCAAGCAATCTGGCCTGTCTATCCTATAGTGACCTTTAATCCTAATCACAGAATTCAAAACAAATGCATAGGATAATATATATTTACAATTTCACAACAAAACATCTTTAATTATTTATTTCTATTTCTGTGTAAGAATGACTTGTTTATTTTATGGACAGGATACAGGGAGAACATGGTGATAAATGAAAATAGTCGTAATTACTGTCTAATATAACATTAATTCTATGTCGAAAACAATCCACTAGTTCATCTTTCAGTATATTATATAGGTGCTTTTTCAACCAATTTAAACCAATGGCCACATTCGCAACGTCGTGGAGGACCTTGATGTAGCCACATCCAATTTACATGCAACGCATCTTCATCACAAACGCATCCCATTATACGACTCTGGAATGCACTGTAGACTACATTTGGATTCTCCTTTGTGCTAGTTGGTCGTCGCTTTATGGTTATATTATAGGGATCCTATAAGCAGATTAATATATATTATCTTTTAATAAAAGTATTATTAATGTTTATCATAATTATCTCTTAAAAAAAATAATACACAAATCTATAAGAACAAAAAACTTATAAAAATTGATATAAAGGTAATATTTTTATATAATATTGTTTTCTTATCTTTAGATACTTGAAGTTTTATCAAGATCAGCATACAATTGCTGTGTGCATTGTATATATCATAAATACAGAAACACATATTATTTTAATAAATTATTTCATTCACTACCATATTATATCATCATTAAAGTGATAGAAATGTCTTTGTATAGATATAGTAGCTGAATTGGAAAGGTTGCGACTTACTTCGTTACCGGCTAAACGAGCGAGCATTTCCCTCTTTTCCAAACCAGTGGCATGATCCAGCGGATCGGCAACTGTCAAGAAAAATAAACGTGAATGACCGATTTTTCTCGTTGTAATGCGTGAAATATTGGTTGTGGCTAAAACTCAAAATCAATGGGCGGACAGAAAATATTACGTAATACGAGGTACGTGAAAACTCAGAAAATGTGTACGAGACGAACGGATATGAGAGGTATTTACATTTTTTCTGGGCGCACACGAAACTGTAGGAAATTGGCCGTCGACATGTTTGGAGCACGGTACGAGCGCTTAACCATGCCATTTTTCAGGCTGTAAAAGATATCGCACTACTCGTCCCAGTCCGACTGGGTTAAGTCGTTATTTTTAGTCACGAATAAAACGATGCGCAGATTAGAGTCTGTCGGACGTGCCGTTTTCAGAGCTGCCAACTGACAGACCGGGCCGATACGCACACAATTGAAAATCGCGTATATTTGCGCAAAGTGCTTTGCGCAAAACGCTCTACGTAGCCATATGCGCGATTTTCGATTGTGCTTATGGATGAGCCCGGTCTGCCGGTTGGCAGCTCTGAACCCCGCCCGTCTAGCAGCTCTGGCGCAGAGTACTGGCAAACGCACAGCGCTCATGGCGCTGCATATGGTTGCCTTTCCTTGATTTGGAAGGACAGTTTAGTTGGACAAGTCAGAATATACTTTTTTTACGTAAAGTCAAATATTTAGATGAATTCTACATAAAATATTCTTATATTAAATACTTCATCTTTCTATTATTTGAAGGTAGAGTTGTAGAAAAAAAGGAGTGTTTAAAAACAGTACATTTTTATATTTCGGAATTAAATAAATTTTATTTCTCATATAAAATATATATTTCAATTACATCTATAATTATTACATTCTGTAGATGTAAAAATTTGTTCATAAGACTTTAAGTATATTTAATAAAGGCTCGGCACAAGTTCGCAACATTTTTTTTGGTCTGATTTGGAATCGATTTTTTTCTTAAAAAAGAAGTTTCTTAAAAAAAGGAGGGGGGTTTTAAATTAACCACCCGGTAAGGAAATGTCACTTATTTACAATATTACATATTTTTGTAATAAAATTTTGTAATAAAATTTCAAATTTAAGTCTATTTAAAATCCGGCAATGATGGAATCAAACAAAAGGCATTATCAATATAGGCCAGGTGTGTCCAACAACACCCGCGAAGTCGCTCTATGAAAAAAAAAGTAGTTTGTATGTACAAAAAGGTTTGGGTATCACTACGATGTATGTCATAGTGAAATATTTTGCCTCAAAGATCATTTTTTCATGTATAGAGCTAAAAAATATATTTTTCAAATACCTGTTTGTATAAATGATCACGAATCGATTAAAACATTATCTCTATTGCTTTCTCTAGGAAAAAAGTCCATTCCAAATCAATTAGCCATCACGATTAATTCATATCAAATTTGTCAATAAAGGGCATCTTTTACGATACCTTACATATAACACTGGCATTAAGTACGTTCACGAAATAATGAACGACTTGAAAAGTGTCCATGTAATAAGTGTTAAGGCATTTGTAACATCTAATATATGTAATACACGTATCAGGCTGTGTTTTTCTTTTTGCAAAGAAACCGAGTCTATCCAGCCTACGTCTGTGTATATAACAGCAGAAAATATTTCTGTTCTCTTCTTCTTGGAGATACGCTAGCAGTACAAACCACTGCCCTGATTCTCGATAATGTACTTTGTCATATATTGCACTGCTTTCTCGCTCAATCCCAAGCTTGGTAACTCCTTCTCAAATTGTTCAAGGGTTCCGGCGCCAGCTATATAGCCATTCAACTTGCTTGCCAAGGAAGAAGTGCGCAAGATTTCCGGTGTAGTGAGGCCTAGTGTTTCAATCAACCATGGATGATTCTGCAGGCGATACTTCTGATGATAGCTACAAAGATGCATGTATATTTAATTTTATTCTACTGCTGACATACGCATATGGCTTCTATCCAATATTTAGTTTAATTTTACTATTTACTCATAGAACTGTTAAACTATTTACAGCTGAATTTCAACGTTTATTTCTAGCCACTTTGCACCAATTGAAGATTAGATACTAATAAACAAAATAAACAACTAAAAAAACAACATGACAGGGAACAATACTTTATTGAAAATCGATAATGAAAAAAACGACAGACTTATGAAATGTCCTAATATTATATATATAATTATTTGCATTTTAAGAATCATGAGCAATCTAGGCAAATATTATTGAATACGTAGAATTAAATTTTCAATAAATAATTAATAAGATCAGTCACAAAATGATACGTGTTACTTACTCTTCTGCTGGATAAAACCTTGTAAACTTCTTAATTTCTGTGACAAAGGTTTCTTTGCGCTCTTGCTGTTCTTGTTCACGAGATTTTTCAGCTAGCAACCTTTGCTCTTCGTCATGATATAAGATTAGTGACATGTACTGCAAATAAAAATCTCATTTAATATAAATATAAGTTATTATATCATTTAAAAATTAGACTAGTATATTTTTGACAATATCTAGTCTCACTTGGACATTTATATTGAAAAACTATTGAAAATAATATATAAAAAAATATAATGTGCAAGGACGAAATACCTGTCTCTTAATCTTTGTTGTCAGACCGTACTCGTGATTATTCCAAAACAAGCTCAGCAAGTGTGTATAGGATACTAATTCTGAATCATATTCAATATCAACAACTTCCGTATGGTCTCCCCTGCACAACAACGCACACAACACAATTATTGAGAACAATTTTATAACATTTTACAACACGATAAAATAAGAAAAATGTTTCATTACATGTTTCTATATTCTGGAGACTCCTTGTTACCGCCGGCATAGCCCACGCAGGTCCTAATGACACCCGGCAGTGCCCCGAAGAGAGAGTCTCCCGCCCAGAAGCAGCCCATGCCGAAGGTGGCACGTTTACCCTTGACCTCTTCCAACTGACCTGGCATTCTGCTGAACGAACAGACATTGCTGCGCTTAGAAATAGGACACGTGAGAAACGCGCCGCATTCGTACGACGAAATGGAGCAATTGCTAGCGACAACAGCCCGAATGAAGCACGGTAACATCACGACGATTGCGCGACACAATCGTGACATCCTTGATATTTCAGCGAACTTTGATTCCGAATTTCACTCGATATTGCAGTTCACTCTACACCGTGTTCTGTGATACTTCCACATGTAGCATCCGTTTAAACGCTCGACAAGCAGATTGAACTGTGAGGGAAAAGATGAACGGGAGAAAGCGCGTGGCGGACGCGAGCGTTTGTAAGTAAATGTGCGAGACTTGTCGACGAGGCGGCGTTGCGTGTCAAACGGGACGCACGTGTGGAGCAGCACGAGGTCGGTGAAGGCCAACTAGATTGTGAATTCATTTGAGTAGTATTGGAAACCGAATGATTCTATTACCGGCGATCATAATCTATCCGGATCTCGTGACCTCGAACTGATATTTTTTTAGCTGTGATACTCGTGATGGATTTTTTATCGATAATCCGCTCTGATTCTCATTGATGCTTAAGACTGATGACTAGCATAAAATAGCGTGGCATAAAAAAAACGTGATGATTTAGAAAGTCTTAGCGGTGCAAATTAGTCTAAATAAAAATAGTTTATCTTGCTTTAACAATTGTACTGTGGATCGTGTACGATGATATGATTAAGTATGATACCGCATTTAACAGTTTTTAGTTAAAATTTAATTTTCTCCCATAAAAATTATTAATTAACATTTAAGTTATTTACTTTATACGTTATTATTTAAAATGTTACTTAATCACTTATTTAAATCTGTCCAATTTAACCTTGTTTTGTTTTGCAACTTTGTCAGTGCGAAAGAGGATATGAACAGATTTTTCTGGGTTAAAATTGTGAAATGACACTTTACGATTTTTATGAATTTTGAAACAGAAGTTAAAAATAATTGCAGCACAAGATACCTAGATAACCAAATATTAACGATGTTGGCAGATTGACAATTTTATGAAATTTGCTGTCAATCTGCCAACGTTGCTAATATTTTGCTTACTGGGACAGCCGAAAAAACTTTTAACACGATTAAAATCAAACGCAGAATAAGTAAGAACTGAAAGAAAAGAACAAAATTTAAAAAATTTTTATTAGCGCTAAAAATCCTTTCGATAATATTTAAAAGTGCAAGTATTTGGGATATATTTTTTGAATTTCTTAAATTAGATTAATAGATTGAAATTCTTTTACCTTTAATGATGAGTTTAATGTGCGATTTGGATGCCCGAAAGTAAGTTAACAAACTATCGACCGGATCGAAGAGAATACGCGCGCTTCTTCGAGATGGCTGCTCTGGACTTCTTGTAGAATTAAAGTAATGAAACTTACTGCCGTGTACTACAGATAGCATCCAGTTTTTATCTAGTGCGACGTCCCCACCATCGCTCCTCCTTCATTCTCCCACTCTTTACATTAGACAACCGTTCGACATTGTGTGATGGAACAAAGGAATAGTAAAAATCGAAATATATTTTTGAGTACCAACAAAAGCTTAATATAAAAGTAGATGACCATGATCTCATTGGGTTACCTTGATTTCATACGTCAGGCTATTACATTATCATATATATAGTTGGCACATGATAGTTTAACTAGTTTTTCAAACTTTTTCAAACATTATTGTAACGTCCTGTAAATATTATAAAATTTATTTATTCATGCAACCCAGATAGACATTTGGATGCATCTTTGATACATAATTGCAGCATGTGCTGCGATTGAAACTGTAACATCCCACACAGCATGTATATCCGGGGCACGTTCGGGAGATATTCCGAAGATATCATATCTCTCAAAGATATCTTGAGGATGTCTTCTAGATATCCTTTGTGTGCTGTGTGCAATATTTACACAAAGATGCGTCCGGATATTAATTTTGTCTCAACACGGTTAATTACGATCACAATTAAATGCTGCAATTATGCACAACATGCATTAACATTGTTAAAAACATGCTAAGACTTATATTTCAGCAAACGAATTTTAGAAAGAAGCGGGAATATCTGAATATCTCATTCATTTGTCTCCAAATGAAAATCTCTTTATATTGTAGATTTTTTGAAAGAAGAAAAATAAGATAAGAATATTTAAGAATCATGACCAGCACATGTTTAGTTGATTTGCATTTTAATAAGTTTGAGTTAAAATCATATATTCTATTATTAACATATATTCGATTCTTTCGTTTAATATTGCACACTGAAGAAGGCCTGATGTCAGGCAGAAACGTTTGTAAATAATTTTAAACGGAAATACAGTAACCTTTGCACGAAGAACCGGCATTGTGGCTTGATACGCTCCTATTAAATTTGATTTCATTATCATATAGCCCAAAAGATGTCCAGAAGACTTTCCGAAGAGTTTCTTTGGGAGATACGATATCTTCAGGACGTCCTCTGAACATCTTCCGAATATGCATGCTGTGTAGGTAAGATCTTTTTAACCGCAACTTCTTAATTTATAATTATAACTTTTGGTAATAATAAAGATCTTCAAATATAATTTTTTTGAATAAAATAAAACTTTAACGAATTAATATTTCGGAAATTTAATTATTCCTATTTAGAAAGACATTTTAGATTTAGCAAATTTTAAGAAAATATAAATATATAAATATAAATTTTAGTGGACAGATATTTATATTTATCTTTACAGAAGAAGATATCTTTGCAGAAGAATAATTATTCGTCGTGTGATGTAACATGATATCATAAATTTGTCACGTTTCAGTCGGAATATGATTACTCGACGTTATTGACCTCGTAACTGTTAGACTTTGCTGATCGTGACACTAAATTGTGAGTTCTCGCAGGTGACAACTTCTAAAATATATTTTGTAATTTCTTCAAACCTTTCACTCGTGTTATCAAGTTATGCGAAATAAATAATAAACAATATAAAATATAATACATAAACAAAATAATAAAATAAATCGGCATATATCTATTTGTAGATAACTTATTTATTTAGTAGTTTAGAATTAGTTTAGATTGTGATTTAGATTTAAAATTACCAAATTTAATCCATTCAGTTATCAAATTTTATCTTATTAAAAAGAAGGCAATACAGCAAATAAATAATATCATCGACTATTAATAGAATGCGTCTTAAATTAAATGCGATTATTTTTGAATGATATTACAAGATTCGGTTGAGAAACAAAAATATTATATAAAAGATTATATTCATTTTTTCATCGTGCTGTCTGGGAGATAGATTTTTTGTGTAAAACAGATTAGTTACATAGATATATATAAATATATGTATATAGTTTTTCGTTTAAAGTCCATTAAATGCCCGTTTAAATGAGAATATTAAATTTAAATCTTAATACGATATTATTCAATAAATTAATAAAAACTGTCGAGAACTAGAATCATTTAGCTACAGAGTACACACTACGAATGATGATGCATTAGAATTTAATTAAAGATGTGTCGTATCGACATTTACATAATTATTTATGCAAAAAAAATATTTTATAAAAATAATTTTTCTATTATAAAATTGTATCGTTTTAAATATGTAAATTATATTCGTCTTTGAGTGATTTTTGGAGGAAACGAGTTATATGTGAAAGGTTTTCCGCATAAATGTTGCTGAGGATGAACTTACGACCCGAAGATACGATAATATTAGTCGATTGGTGCCAATTGGCGATTCTAGTAAGGCTTAATAGAGCGCGGTGGTTGCATCAGAACAGACAAGCGATGCACATTTGATTAAATCAGTTCTCAATTGGGAGTCGACTGATGTAATCTTCTTTCTCTGATCGCTAAGCCATCATATGCTCGTGTCACTCTGGTGATTATAACGGTTATTATCAGTCAGTATTCAGCTATTATGTATATGGTTCTACTAGTAGAATTCACATCCTCATCATGATTGACAAAAATAGTTGAATAGACGAAACCGTTTCTGAGAACGTCGAATAATTGTATGTCACAATATAACAATGTGTAAAATTGCATTTTAGTAAATGTTGAATGTAATTTATCATATGCAGAACAAGCATTTCGATAAAGTTTATATAATTATAAAGAATCAATATTGAATAAAGTTCACAAATTATTCATATATTACAATTTTTGGTCAAATTGCTGTTTCTCATTTGCATCCTAAATCAATAACGCATTGGAAAATTAATTCGCGTTTATAATTATGAGATAACGATGACAAAAAGAATCTCTCAAAAAAAAACGGTCTTACACAGAGAGTATACGAAATTTGCTCTTTAAAAGAACATGCGTTATATAATATTAAAATATAAGTTACATATAGTGTTTATTTTTATATATAACATTACTATATTACAATACAATAAACAGGTGATAGACAGGTAATTACATAAATTCATTTCAAGTACAGTCGTTGAAATCAACTTTCACCACATAGACATTCATTCATTTAAATCAAGTGTATGGAATAATCGCTGTCGTCGAATGTTGTCGAATGTGTGCTGTTAATTTTAATTGGAATATAATCAATATTGCACGGAGATAGTCTTAAATATACATTAATGCGCAATATTAAGATTTGAAATAAATCGTGAATCACGCGACTGCTGTCGCAAAGTCGTAAATCGCGTAAAGTTTGGCAAGGTTTATTATGCATCGTAGAGGAATGTATGAGCACTTATTTGTACTATTTACTCTCTTCGAACATTTCCTTCGCACACAATTATAATTCGGATACCATTTGACACAAAAAATGTACAAAAAATATACTTGTTCGACACAATAGATCATTATTTTACATGCAGTCTCGTGCACATATGCGATTTTTTGCTGTCATTTCATTTTGATTGTTGAATCATTGCATGTATTACATAAATCTTTAGGTTGAAGGTATTTCGAACATTTCATACAATATTCAATGAAATTTAAATGTCTTATATAATCTATATCCAACAAAAATAAATCGTAATGCAAAATTGCAAATCAATGATGCATATGTGTCTCGTTATATGTAGAACAAGAAATTCAGTAAAATCTTTAATTGTAATATAAATAGATATCAAAATTTACAAATAATCTTTAAATTGATATAAAAAACAGTTTTTACTTAATTCTTACGGCTAGAGTTTCATAAAAAACATTGGAAGATGTGTTTTTTATAGTCTTATACCTGTTTATCGAGATACTAGAAAATTTGAATATTTAACCATAAGCGATATCTACGAATGTAATACACATCTCTCTTACTGTCTAGTCTATACATTTCTTTTAATATAACAATAAATAAAATAAAAGTCTGTACAATACTTAAATTCGTTAGGCATTGGAAAGTTGTAAATAATTTGAAAAGGCATATATATATATATCTTTCTGTGAACGTAAGTACACAAGTTTCTAAAATTATCGTAACAAGGTGTTCCTACAAGAATCTAAGTACTACAATTCACGTAACAATTGTAGACAGAACATTTTGTTTACGATTTAAGTACAATACCGTTTGCGCGATATCAAAACCAATAACTGTTTTGACTTTAAAATGATTAACGCGTGTCGCTGCAGAGATATTATCTGTGATGTATATACGTGTATATAGAGTTATATATGCTAAGAAAACATATAATAAAAAAGATCCTCGAAATTCGGGTTAAACGTACGATTCCCAAAGTTGTAAAAATTTAAGAAAGCGTCGAGTCTTCTGGAAAAATACTGGAAGCTAATCGCCGGAACACATTTTTGTTAATGACATTGTTATGCAGCAAATGGGAAATACACGAGAAAAAAAAAATGAGAGACTGGTAAGTACGTAAGTAAATGCGACGTGTTACATGACAGTGCAGCAGCTCTTTTCCGAGTGATTATCGCCCACGATCTCGCTGGTGTTTCCGGTAAAGCGTTGCGTATAGTCGTCGGTGTTGAGGTCGGAATTGGAGATGGACGAAACTGGCATCGGGATGCCGTTCCCATTGGCGTCTAGAGATCCGCCGGATATATGCCGGTTCTGCGCCCGTTGCTTCTTCAGATCTGACAAGGATTTGACGAAAACAACGGACACATGTATGTTGATCTTGCCGTTGTCACTGTCGGTAGCATAAATCGGCGACTGCTGTTGGCTACCGACCGATGGGTCAGGCCCTGTCACTGCTATCAGGCAAACACGTAAATCCAATGTGCTACTCTCCCGTCAAGAAGTGCGCTGACTTTTCGATCGACGCAATCGCCACTTTTCCACCCCTTCACCTTAACCCGACTTTCTATCCCTATGCACTGATTACGATTTAAAAAAAAGGGAAAAAAAAATCGATGATATCAACTATGAGTTTCATGCGCCAAGCCTGGCATGCTCTCAGCAGCAAGCATTTAAAAAACATTGCATCAATGAACCACCACCATATGCACATTGGTGTGTGTATACATAGTATATATGTATATAATATTATAATATATATAATATTATATATGTATGTATGCATTAAACGATACTTAATAATTGCGTTTTACGCAAGCAAAACGAATGAATGTAAAAAAAGAGAGGTAACGATAAGTATGATAAACATAGCTTATGTTTACAAAAAACAAGGACGGTGTTTAACGATTACAATATATCTTTGTATAGTACAATGGAATTTCTTTAACTTTTCAACGATTATTATAAACTATCCGATCGATCTAATTGTACTAGCGCGTCGTAAGTGAACATAAATCATCGTCGACATACCAAATAAGAAAAGAAATTGTCATTTTAGAAAAGTTAATCTACAATAGCGTTATCGTCTATAGAAAATGTATAATAATTTCATTAATAATTTGTCCCTTTTGTCAAGCTTATCGTCACTATGTCTCTGATATGTTCTTTTATTCTTCAAATTGACTACTTTAATGGTAAAGGAGAGTATGGTCCTCCATATCGTTCATTCAGTTACATAATAATAAAGTGGATATGAAGCATTCGCTGATCAGCGCAAAAAGATTCGTTATCTTTAATACGAAGTGTAAAATTTGACGAGACGATACGAGACGAGACATAAAAATTCGTAGAACTGGGATCAGGTTTAGGCCATGCTTTAGGCTCAAAATCCGTCCGTTATACTACGAGCGCATTATCCGGCAAAAATTTACCAAACAGTAACAGTCTTCTAATATATGTATGTATGTACTTATTCTAGAAAAAACTTGCACAGTACAATATGTATAAAGAGTATAGAATAATATATCTGTCGAATCTACTTATGTGTGTCCTACTAGCATGACATATATATAATTATCTAAATCAATTAGGCTTGACTTTTACATACAACGTATGTAGAAATTAATTAACGGAAACAATTTGACATGTCTACAGTCAACATCATTTGTCGAATCATTATTCTGTACTGCGTTTGATTAATATTCTATTTAGTGGCCGTTCAGCTTCGCTAACGCGCCACATGCTAAGAAAGCCAATGTCATTTAGGCCTTGCCAAAGAGATTCGATGTGAATAAAGCGAGATGTGTTTGCGTGTGCATTTTAACATGAGAATACTTTTAGAGAGAGAGAAAGAGAGAGAGAGAGAGAGAGAGGAATGTGTTGTATGCGCAGAACACGTAGATATGTATCTTACTATTTTTTTTTTTTTGGTCACAGTGTATCATGTAATGTGTATGACACAAAAAAATAACGTAATTTAAATGCATCCTACAGATTTGGAGATGTAATAATTAAAGAAACAGGAAAGTGACATAGAAAACTAACCTCGCAATTATTCAGGAGCACGCAGTGAATGAAAAAAAAAGAAAAAGCTCGTAAATAATCGACAGCTAACAGTGATTTTGACAGAGTACATTTATAGGATTGATTCATTTTGCAATTAACAAATTAATATATAATCTATACATCATGGACTATTTAATCCTTCCAGATTAATTAAGTAGCACCCTTCTATGTGTATAAAATTTTGTTTATTAATATATGAAAATATAGAGTCGCGTTTTTTCTGTCGGACGTTTTCATTTTCCCAGCATCTTATTTATAATTCTATAATAATTTTTTTCCTTCCTTCAGCACAATATTCATTTATTGTTTTCAATAAGCATACGACTTGTAGGAACTTGAATACAATTCTCAAATTTTATGCATTAATTTCTTTTTAAATGTTTCTATTTTTGTAAATATTATGTATTATAAATGATATACACATTGTATATATGCACGTATGTATATATGTGGAATTTTTGAATCTCGTGATCGAAATCTGTTTTTGGAAGTCTCTGCGTAAAGCTACCGTATACCACAATATTCTACCGAACCACAACCAATGCAAACAAAAATAGGTTTGAAATATACCTGAATCTTTATCAACATCTTCGTGAAGAAAAGACTCATTGTCTTTTCCTTCCGGACCTTTTCGCACCGCTGGTGTCATTGCACTATTAGAATCAGTCTCGTGGTTTCCTACTTCCTGTGTACTGTTCTCTAACGGTGGGATATTAGGTGCAGAGCCACTAACGTATGTCTGAAATACATCAAGTACATTAGTGCTAAGTCAATAAAGACAAATATTTAAAGTTAATATATATCGATAAAAACAGGAAGTATTTAGACATTTTTAATTCTTCTACTTTACCTGTTGCGCTTGTATTCTTAAACGAGCTTCTTCTTGGGCGTCTTTTTTCGTAGTAAGAACTTTATCCCGAATGGATGTCCGACGTACACTTTGTGTTCGTGTATTTATGCTCTGTGATCTGCGTACTCTTCGTCCTTGCGCTTCCCGAAGTCGTTTACTTTCCTGTTCCGTTTTCAATTCAACTATCCTCTCTCTAATCTCTGGGTCTTCGCATATGTCTAAACACAGTATTAAAATATAGAAAAATGACGTAAAATAATATAAATCGAAATAAATCTATGAATCTTACCTGCGGGAGTTTCGTCATGCTTATTCTTTGCATTTAGATCTGCTCCGTTTTGTACTAATAGCTCAAGCACTTCCAACTGCAATATAAAACCATGTGTAATCATTGTTGTATAAAAAATTAATAAACGTGGCACAATTAAATGGATTTATGATCTCGACTATGTGTAATAAAAATATGGTTGTAAAAATCGAAAGACGTGATTGAAACTTACATGTCCCCAACATGCCGCTGCATGAACAGGTTGCCATTTATCGTTGTCCTCTACGTCTGTTGACACATGTTGATCAAGAAGAAATTCAACTACTCTTAAGTAACCATTCGCCGCCGCAATATGAAGCTGTAATAAAAAAGCATGATATAGTTATGCAATCATAAGTACAATTTGTTGACTTATTTTTTCTCAGACTAATAAATTTGTGTACGTACAGGCGTAGCACCTTGATGATCCTTATATTCAAGATCAGCTGCTAAAGAAGCTGTCTTCTGCAAATCCCGTAACATTTGAACCTCGATCGAAGCTCTAGTTTCATCTATTAATTCTTGCGTAACTCCTCGCCTTGCCATTTCTCCTGCATTATAAAAATATAATTTATGTGAATTATTATTGTCACTTAGAGACGGTAAGGTTTGTAAATATCGCAAAAAATATTACAATCTAAGCTTGTTACCTTCGATGCAATCTAATGTTTTTTCATCTTCACATATATCATACGGCATATTGCCATCGGCATTAACAGCTAACAAATTTGCACCTCTGGCTATAAGATATTTGACTAAATGTAAGTGACCGCACGTAGCAGCAGCGTGTAACGGTGTCCATTTCTCACTATCCTCTGCATTCACATTAGCACCAAATTCTACAAGTAATTTCATCATTTCTTCATTATCATCTATGCAACATTGATGCAACGCCGTCAGACCGTCTTCATTTGTTGAGTCTGGATTTACACCTTTCTTTAAAAGACGTCTTACTACAAAGAAAAAAATTAAATATTGATAACGTAATGTGCTGAAGGATGATTATCACTTATGTTTCAAATAATATTTGTGTACATTTTACTTTTTACCTTCATCAATATCGTTTCTTGCTGCGGCTTCTAACAACATAACACTATCACTAAAATATATGTGACGTTTATTACTGGTATGCCTAGTTTGGTGTCGTAACCATTCCTTCTCACGTTGTCTCCATAATTTTAATTGCTGAAGTCTACGATGACGTGCCAAGTGTAACCGTTCTTGTGTGCTTAGTCTTTCGATGTGCACCATTTCTGCTACTAACTCTGAGTGCTCCATTGTTATATGTTTATGATTTTTGCAGCTATATTTACCTGTTTACAAAAGAAAAAGAAAAAATCGTTACCCAAAGTAAACTTAATTTGCATTTCTGTACACACACACTCATACACGCATACACACAATACTTTTTTGCAATTGTATAAATAGAATGAAATAATTTGCTCCACAATAAATGTATATTTGTAATAAATATTTGTAGATCCTATTAAAATTATTAGATGTTGCTTATATTTGTTTTTGTTAGCCATTGTGAATCACAGTAAAGATCACAGAAAAGTGTAATAAAAAAATAATATTATCCTGACAGCTTTACCTTTATATTTACAAAGCCAAGATCTCATTCTCAGATAATTAAAAATTTTTTGATAAACACTGGATGTCATTTTAATATAATCAGGATTTTCACTTATTTCAACAATGCACAAGCAACTTAACTGATCCCTCCTGAGTTATCTGGTGGAAATGATAGCATATTTCAACCTCATGTTCCATCAAACTTATCAAATACTTAGGTAAGTAAACATGCAATATTTGCACAAATGTTCCTGGTGAAAGAAAGCTTTTCTTGCTGGTGTGTGTTTCTCTTTTAAAATTATCTGTTGATTATTATGTGTTTCTAATAGAGGAATATTCTCTATTGCAACAAAAGTTTTACTTTGTAAATTGAAAAATCTTTTCTAAGTAGAACAATAGTAAATTACAAAATCAGAAATAAAGATTACAAATATTTTTGAAAGTATAAGATATCCAATAAGTGTTATACATTGATTTCCAAAAAAAAATCAAAATTTCTATGCAAAAAGAGATTCTAATTGGTATAATATAATAATTTTGCACTTTACATATTTTATTCTAATATTGCTGAAATTTCGACTTCCTGCGTTGGTTAGTAATGATTTTTACTAGATGGCTATATATGTTTACAATGCCTCGCATATGCAATAAATTCTATCTATAATCTCAACAGGTAATATGTTACGTCATTAGATACCACATCACAAATGTACATATTTAAACAATATTACCTTAGCAGTATAACTGAGAAATAATTGGTGAAAAATATAAGCATTTTCACTCGGTAAATATCACGCTCACTCTTTCCATATAAAAATAAATGATCAATCAATGATTGATTACTAATGTTAATAATAAAAAAAATAAATAATATTAATATTTAGCACTTATTGATTTATAATAATGATATTTAATTACATTTTTGTAAAATAGTTCATTAAAAGCAAGTCACTTTAATTTCCAATATTTTAATACACACTTTTTTCTGCAATCTAATGACACAAAATGTAGATACACTAGTCGTACAGGAAATACTTTCTGATTTTTCGCGGAACTGATATATAATTGCTGTTATTTTACACATAATAACCATGGAAAAATGGATAGAATAATATTCGACACGGTCTCACGGGAATTTATGTCCCTCATACCTCATTCATATTGCAGACGATCAAACGTGAGCCTAGTGGCGCATAATCCCATTGCGAAACATATCATCGTGCAGCAGGATTTTACTTCCTGCCAATTATATCGCTTGGCGAGCAAAGCCATTGCGATCAAGGCCAGTACGCGCGATATGTATCGCGCAGGATCTCATCGGAACGTGAGAAAAACAGAGTGTTCGCCTTTTCAGGGGATAAATATAAGCAGAAATCGACGATCAATGTGATCGAGCGACGCGCTAAAAATCGACGAGGAAGTATTTCGTACTTACGTATGTAAGCGTACAGGTCGACACGCGGCGGAGGTGGCCATCCGCTTTCCTTCTCCCTCTATTCTCTCCACACTCGCGATCGTACCAGCGGCAATGTAACGAGCGACAATGAAAACCACGGTGGCGGCAACACATCTACGTCGCGCTTCGCGCCTATCGCATAATTCACGGCATAATCCTCGCTGTGTGCGGGCGCGCGTTTCAGCGTTCTCGCGAGGCAGATACCGCCGTTGGTAAAAATCCGCTTATGCGTTTCCCGTGCCTGCCAGCGCGTACAGCCGCGAAAACGTCTTCCTGTCGTTCGCCATTTTTAAATTACCTGCAAGAGATCGCGCCCGCGCACGCCTCACTTCGTCTCGCACACCAACCTTTACCGCGCCTGGCTGAGCAGGCTGACTCGAGTTCACTTCGGTACCCCTCGAATCGCGTATGAATGGGAAGAAGCGACAGGTACGCGTGTTCGCCCGCAATCACCGACGAAGCGCGATCGCCGACGATCGGCGGACGCGCGACGTCGATCGCGCGAGCGGCTTTGCGGTTGTTTCCGATTCGACGACGAGCAGTGATGCGAAATTGCAACCGCGGCTCCGAACACGCAACAAGCCGAGAACAGCGTCCATGTGCGTTCGGCGTTCGGCTCAATTCGGCTAGTAAAAGAGAGCAGACACACCGTTAACTGTTTCTCTTTTCAACTCATTGTCTCAATCTCTATCTCTTTTCAACTCAATACCTCTCAAAGCTTCCTTTCTCTTTTAAAATTTTGACACTCCGCGAACGCCATGAGCAATCTATACTTACATTAGGATTTATCCAGACAAATTTGTATAGATGCATATGCGTATGCATAAAGAAATGGATTGGAGAAAATGATTCATGAGAAAATGCATCAGGAAGTGAACCAATCCAATTCCTTATGCATATGCATATGCACCTATACAAATTTGCCTGGACAGGCCCTCGCTACGTCTATGGTACATGGCGTGGTATTACGTCGGTAATGCTAATTTGATTTTTAGTTTCACCTAAATGATGGCGCTTTCGTGTTGATGTTCAGCTGTCAGCATCGCCTTAAAGAGGTAAAAGTGAATCTTACCGCGGCGCAGTTCGATGATACTTCATGCGAATTGCCATTTTCGGATTTTGCCCACATTACAACGCAAGAACATCCGCCACATTGTCCGCCGATATGGAGGGACACCGCAGCGACGGCGTTAGCGGAGCGTATCTCGCAGTTGCTGCCGGCATTTTTGCGACCGGAGGCAGCCTTCTCGGCAAACTCGCTAGTGGCGTTGACGCGTTATCATTGGTGAGTGGGCGGCTAATTGAAATCGTTAGAGTCGCGAATTACTATTTTTAATCTGCAGAACACGAAAATTATAGAAAATATTGTAAGCGTATATTAGAAAATCGAAGTAATGTTTGGAAACGATAAAGAAAATATCGGGAAATAAATAAAACTTGGAAAAATAATTAATATATACATTCAGAAACATAAAGTAACGAGTGATTAAAAATTGAGAAATTAAAATTAATCTAATTTATCTAAATACAAAGACTGAAGCTATAAATGATGAAATAAGTATAGTGCAGTATTATGTTTATATATTTATTTTTTGCAAAAGCTATCGTTGTTGCTAAAAGGAGCACTTCTGGTCTGTATGATCGTAAGCAACACCGTGGGATGCACGTTTTTTGTCAAAGCGCTTCATACTAGTGGATCTTCCTTGCCGATAACAATTGCCAGCGCAGCTACAAATTATATTTGTTCTGTAAGTTGTTAAATTTTATAAATTAAACTTATAAATATTTTTTTTTTTTATTGTGTAACGATTTAATATAGGGATTGCGAAGGGGACATCTTTAGCATATCATAAAAAAAATTGCAAAATATATCGCGCAAAATATTCAAGTCGATTTAATGAAAGAGCTTCGTAAAATGCAATGAAATGGGGAAAAGAGATAATTTACGAAAGGATATTTGTCAGTCGCAATTATTCACTTATAGTCGGACCGTTATACTTCCGACTGTTCGAGTCGCAAAAGTTGTTTCGCAAACTAGACGCAATTCCGCGAGCGTGCACAATGCGGTCATAGCAATTATATGTGCAGAACTACGTGGCGATTGAGCGAGGCGTACGATATGATGCATGCCATTGAAATGCAGTCTTGATAGAGGTGTATTATGTGCCAGGAAATGTATATGCCAGAATTATTACACGATCGATAGAAATATTCACTGACGAACGATTGTTTTTTTTTTCTAGTTTTTATACGAAGATTGCAACATTCTCATTCTATTTTTCGTTCTGTTAATTAGAAAGAATTAGACATAGATATATCCCTTGCGATTTTACGTAATAGAATATTCGTTCTTTGATTCTCTGTGGAAATTTGCCTGAATCCATGAATTTCTGCGGGCATTCCGATTGCGTCAATGTAAAATTAAATATTCGCAAGATCACGCTTGGGAATTTTGCGAAAATACGATTTTAACTTGAGGATGTTATTTCGAACTGGCACTCCGCGAAAAATAAAAATAAAGTTATATCCATCATATATTTTGCTCGGTGTATAAATTATGGCAACATGTATCGTCAATCACATTTATCTTATTCATAAACAGTCTTAAGATGTAAGAACATACGGAAAAAGCTGTATTTAAAAATTTATTTTTTTGCAAATTTAATTTAATTGACATTGTCTCTTCCAATTGTTTTTCTACATATTAAGAAGTTAATCCTGAAAGCTTGAATTTGCAACTTATTGTTAGTTTACATTGCTGATTTTATCATCTCTTGCCGAAATGTAAATTTGTAATTTTTGTGATTAAGAGCATAAAAAAAGTATATTCCAACACTAACTTTTGTTTTTTTTTAAATTTATATTAATTTAAAATACAATCTTTTTTGGATTTTTTGCAAAAATGTAAAACTTGTATATCTTATTAGATTCGATAGTAGAAATTTAATTGTTAAGAAAATTGGTTAAGAAAGCAGAAAAAGTCACAAATGCGATATAAAATCAACTAAATCTTATTCATCTTCGTTGAAGGCTTTCGTAGGCTTCGTCGTATTCGATGAATCCACATCATTGGTTTGGTGGTGTGGAACTTCCTTGGTACTTTCCGGCTTGATTTTGATCTGCTACGTTCCCGCTGAAAAGGACACTTCTGTCGAAGGGAAATTGAAACATCAATAATTGGCAACAAGCGCTTTTATGTTAAAAGCGGTGATAGTGATATTGTGATTTACTTCAGTTTTTGTATTAAAATCAATATTTGTGATTTTATATCGCAAATATTTAATTATTAATGAATAGAATTATTAATAATTGTATACGCTTTATTATAATATTTATCTACACTAATATTTTTGCTACGCAATTTACAGATAACTTTAAGATGCGTATCGAGATATAATTTATAATTGTTCGGACAAGTGATATAATATACGATGTTGTACGTGTAATATATGATATCATATTTGTAATAATATTAATATTATGTAATGTGATAACAGATCGACACAATGCAAAATTTGTACAATATAAACTAAGATATTCTATCTAATTAAACAGAAAAATTTCGCATTCTTACGTTTTAATATTATTTCGCCCGAATAATTCAGGTTAATTCAATTAAATAGATTTAAGTGTTTGAATATAATCTTTAGTTTACTGTTAATAGCGCAAGATTTTATTTACTGTAGTTTTTTTGAAATATTATTTTCAAAATTCTAAACTTATTATTAACAGAATAAAATGCACAATATCTTCAAAAATCTTTTCTTTCCTCTCTTTTCAATCGAATATATTGTTCTCTATAAATGGAATAAATTTTATATTAAGGTCCAGAATAAAGTGAGTTTCCAACAATCCATATCTCTTGAGTGCTCTTATTTTAGCATAGCAAAGTGAATCTTCGTGTAAGAGAAACAACGCTAGATAAGAGAAACAACGATGAGTGTATTCCTCTGACTGTCACTCAAAACACACATGAATGCTATCTTTCTTCATTCAGCCATCAAGTAAGTAACATTTCGTACATTAAACTTGCGAAATTAACACAGCGAGCAAATAATACATTGTTAATATAAACGTCAGCTCGCGGTAACAGTGTTCGCAGTTCAATGTAATGCGATGTATTTCCGGATGTAAGTATATCCATCATGCAAATGAGAATGTGTGGCATCTCTGACAACAATATAATTCGGACGAATCGATCTTCACTGATATAACTCCCGAAGGGAGATTATCGAAATACGTATCTGAATGATGCAATATGAATTTAAGCCCGAATTGTATTTTACGTCAAGAGTTGCTATTTCGATTTCATTGTCCCAATTGCGACGCCAATTTACGTCACATCGTAAAAGGAATTAATAAATCATTCACATATCTTTTATATGATGCAGTTTCTCATGCAAAAAGCATTTCAGCGATTTGCACACACTCTCTCTCTCTCTCTCTCTCTCTCTCTCTCTCTCTCTCTCTCTCTCTCAACTCGGACGAAAAGCGGGAAAAACGCATTTCGGCGTTACATCTCAACGGGATACGAGTCCATTCAAGATCGGACCTCACACCGGCGTCCAGCTACGACGCAAGCGTACCCCAATAGTCCGTGTACGAGTCCTACTACACCAGATTTCCCGTTTGTAGGGCAGAGTCGAGGGGTGTCAAGGGGACGGCGGCCTTTATCGAGCGGGCTTGTGCGCGGGCTCGTCGACGCCGACGCCGACGCCACAACGTCGACGACGACGTTCTCAATGCCCTACCCTCAGGGATGAATTGCTGCTTTTCGCAGTGCCGAGTAAATGTTGCGGAATGCGCCGTTCAGTTCTCGGTTCGGACGGTGTCGCGGAAGGAATTTCGCGGCGTCGTCGTCGTCCGGACTGCGCACACTTGGATTTAGCCGAAAGGAAGGAAAGTATCGTAAATTGAAACTCGCGGGAATGAAATATATTTTCAGCTCGACTCGAAATCCGAGTCGTCTCACATTCGGCCCTGCGCATCCCCTCCGCACATTTTCAGCTACCACCTCCCGAGCTGTCGCGACAAATCTGTCATGAGATTTCCACCTTCATCCTCGCCCACCTCGTGGCAATGAATTCGAACAGGATAGATTCGCGCGGGCGAGGTGAGAGCGACAACGTCGATCGGTGGTAGCGTCATGTCGATTCCTACGTAAAAAGGGAGATCGGACGAAGGAGGGGGAGGGAAGGAGGGAAGAACCGCGGTCTACGATACACCCTCGGTCTCTTATCGCGCCTAACGACGGCCGGAATGGCCGGAATCGCGAGTCGTGTCTCGCGTCTCGCGACCCACGCGACGAACGGAATTGGCCCGCGCGTGGAGATCACGCTCTTCGCGGCGGTGTCTCGCCGCGGGACAATCGGACTGATCCGGCCTTGAGGATAAGCCTCGTTTTGTCCATGTGCGGGGTGACAATCGATCGTGGTGTTTCGAGGAGAGCTCTCCGAGTGTCCGCGGCGTGGATTATTATCGCGACAATTTCTCTCGCCCCCTCCCCCCCCCCTCCTCCCGCCCGCCACCCGACTGCCTCTTCGTCAACGGGCAGTTTCTAAGGCGATCCAGTGAACGAGCTGTCGAGACGTGCAAGACGGAGGCCGGGGCCGTGTCACATCTAGACTGGCAAAACGCATTTGAGGCAGGGCTCTGCGCGCAGTGATAGGATCTACCCCACTATTCTGCACGTTGCCCTAACCGCTGTCCCACCCTCGTTGCGCGGTTTAGTTTCCCCCACGTCGCGTGCATTCCGCCTGCTCTCTCTCTCTCTCTCTCTCTCACTCTCCTCTCTCTCTCTCTCTCTCTCTCTCACTCTCCTCTTTCTCTCTCTCTCTCTCTCCTCTCTCACTCTCCGCACCCTCTTCATTTTCTTCTCACTCCCCGCTATTCGCCATCAGGAAACCCCTTGTGTCCGCTCCTTGCGCGCGGCTCGGCACAAACGAACGGGGCAGTTTTCATACGACGTGTCCTTCCGTCAAATCGCCGAGAAAGAGAGAGACAGAGAGGAGAAGAAAGAGAGAGCGAGGGAGAAAAAGATAGGGAGGGAGAAAGAGAGAGAGAGAGAGGAACGCACACAAATTGCGGTGTAAATCTGCTGCAACGGCGTGTGACGGACAAGGCTGAAAGTGCGACCGAAACGAACGATAGAATTAAAGTGGCGCGATCCCCGCTACGGTCGGCCGACACGGGAATTCCTTCTCCGGAAAACGGTTGATTGAAGTGCGAACGATTTCTGTTTGTTCCGACTGCTCTCCCCTCAAAAAGACGAGATAGCATCCCGCAAGCGTAATTAGCGATAAGGGAGAGTTGTCGCTCTCCAAGGGATTCCTCTCACAATCAGTGTTTCCTTCTCGCAATATCATGTGGAATGTGGATCTTCCAGGTGCGTCTGCAATTCGTGCTTTTTAACTCTCCGATAGAGTTCCATTCGATTGAATATTGTCACATTTCAATGAAGTCGTTTGCTTTCGTCAGTGAGTGACAAGTATCAGTTCACAATGAGTGAGCGCGCGTCAATGTTTGCGGCTGCCTTAATTTTGCATAAACATAAGCGTGATTGAAATTACTTTTAATATTCTTTGTTTCGTATTTGAGCTATCTTGTCTTCTAGTGTCGAGAAAATCCGCCAGATGTAAAATATATATTGCATTTCTAATAAAACATAGCTTTTAGCTTGATTACAGGCTAAATTTCGATTATGCATGTATTTTGCTAGAATCAAAGGATAACTGGGAATCCGATAATTGATCTTTGCTAGATAACAGATAAAGGAATTTTATGAATAAGTCCCTCTGCTGCACTCGACTTTAATCAATTAATTAATAAACAAACTGCGTGATTGATTTGCATGAGAAAAAAATTTGCCGCAATAAAGTACCGCACGGCAGCTTCCGATTCGCTGAACATGATTGCTTTTCACTGCAATTCACCGGGCGTACTGGATCGCCGTTTTATTTTAAGAGTAGATCAACATCATGGAGCACGCTGAGTTTAGCATGCAATTGAATTTACTCCGAATGATAAATTGATACCTTTTATACAGTACATAAAAAACGATAAGAAATAGCGGCATTATTAATAAAGATTTTGAAATCTGAATAATCGAATATTTGATAAAAATTCAAGATCTGTAGTGTATATTTTTACTAGTGATTATAATATCGATATTTTAATTTCTGAAATAAAGTAATGCGACATATTGATATTTCGAATATTAAAACATTAGTTACCGCGCGAATTAGAATAACTTATTTAGAGAATTATGACATACAATAAATTAAATATTCGTTTTATATGCAAGAAAAAGTAAAGTGAAGGAATGTTTTCAATTGATTTGAATTTCTTTAGTATTCAGTTTTACATGATATAAATTTCTTTACATAGTATTGAATGTTAATATATTAATGTCATATTGTAGGATAAATATCGAAATACAATCCGACAATTTACAAGTTATGCATGACTTATCATTATGATAGTGGATAGTGAATTAATCTTCTAACGAGCAGCATCTGATTTTTAAGATAAGTTTTGCTTTGAATAAAAATATGATTTCTTTAGCAACAAATAATCTGTTTTGCAACAAGTAACTTTTCATCCATCTAATTTCCAAATATTAAATTACTAAATACTTCATGATTCTGGTTTTAATCTAAAAGTTAAAAAAAGACAGTTGTCCAAATAAAATTCTTTACAATTAAGATATTGTTAATGTTTAAAAAAATTAATGGTTTAATCTTTGAAAATTTACATGGTTTATCTAAAAAACATGTTTTTTAAAAATTTTTTTAAAAAATCTATTTTTATCAGAAATAAATATTTGCGATTGAACGAAATGTTACAGCTGACGCGATTTGAACGAATTTGTTTGGCTGGCAAAAGCAAAGCGCAAGTAACATTTGTGCATCGCGAAATGTTTTGCTGTGTAAGAAAATGTGTGTTGTGTCGGCATCGAGCCAATATATTGGGCTAGAATTTACATAAACGCATACTGCCTTGCACTGCCATATTCGAACGTGCAATAAAAATACATCTATTTTTGTGCACTCGGTTATAGAAGCGTTATTTTTCTGGCAGAGAATAGCAATTCGATATCCTTGACAATCAACGCTTAATGACCAAGTCACGATATCCGATTAAATTAGATTTTCTCTATAATTGTCTTCAAAAATCCGTCGTTAAAAACTTCAATTAATATTATTTATACATTGCAAAATATTTAAATTAAAGATCTTAGTAAAAAAACATTTTATTCTTTGTACAAATTATATAAACACGAAAGCGAAGGTAGATACGAAAAATGTATTAATGGTATTCAATATGCATTCATAAGATGCTCCACGACACGTGATACGTCGATTCTCCTTGCATTAAAACAATAGCATGGAAACAATAGAACCGTGCAATTATAATTACGCAAAGGAACAAATACACTTTTCAGTGTCTCTAATTAACGGAAATGCTGTTAAGAACAGCTCAATCGATAATGCTTTTTTTTTTTACGAATTAAATATTATCGAGAAATTACACTCACAGAGAAATTTGACTATAACCGCATTGGACACCATTAATACACACGACTATACTAGTGGCAAAGTGGGTTAAAGTACTACCAGGTAACTGAGTCCTTGTAATCCATCTTATTGATCTTAAAATAATCGATAAGCGTGCATTTCTTTAAACCTCTACTACGTTCATTTTCTGCACTAATTCTCTAGCGACTCCCGCAATAGGAATTTATTGCTACTCGTCATATTTCTTTTCGAGGATTTATCGTTTCTATTGCACGACGATGCAATTTTGTCTCAACCATTAATTCAAGGGTATTGCCAATCGTTGGCGACGTGGATTTCTCTCGAAATTTGCATGAGCTCGATCGCCTTGTTTTCTAAACAACTACTGAGATCACACACAGATATATACACACGCGAGATACGCTCGGACGCCAACAACGACAATTTATCAATAACTTGTCCCACTTTCTCGAAAGCACACATTTTCTTTTTCGAGCGAGGCGATCGCGCCGCGCGTATAGCTAATCGATACTCAAGACAAATTTCTTTTTATTTCTACTGCTATTTTCATTCCGCGATATCCCATTTATGTCTCTAACCAGTCACTTCTTTTTCGCAGGGCCGATGCACCGTGTCATGATTACAGATAGCCTCCCAAAGATAAATCTATTTTTCGCAACGTGCTGCCCCACATTGGAAAGTCAATTGCTTCAGTTTTCGTACAAAAACTCCGCCTAAAGCGTAGTCTATTTTCGCTTTTCGCGCTCGTCCGAGGCAAATGAGACGGAATCCGCATATAAATGGAATCTCCCTTGTCGGGAAGACGATACGTAAAAGTCGGAAGTTCTTCAGTAAGGAGGTTGCAAAAAAAAAAGCAATCATGAATATAAATGTTCCGTCGTACTTTGAGAATCAGACGGACGCGCCGGATGTCCTTGTTGGTTGAGATGCAGCCGTGCGCTGCGCAGAAACGGCGTAGCGTTATCGAGAAGCACAAAAGCGATAAGTAAGATGGAGATCCGTCAAATATGAACAAGAATTTAAAATGACGCATCGAATGTAGAATGATTCGTCACGCGTATGACATTGTGCAATTGTTATCAGGAAATAAATCATTAAAGCTTACTCATGTATTACAAAGAAATAGATTATCAAGATAAGAGACGAAGATAGAGAAAGAAAAAGAGAGCGATATTTCGCTGAACGAGGAAAGAGGAGATTGGATCGAGCCGAGAATCACGTGGTTTATATAGTTCAACACTACGAATGCTATATTACGCTGATTACAAGACCGAACACGTGGCAGCTTTATAGACTTATACGCTGAAGATGGTGCTTGACGAACAATGCGCGCTGTTCCGCCAATGAGAATCGAATGAGAGAAATCACGCTGAAGAAATTGAAGATGATGGTGGACGGACAGAGATTTGTACGTGATTCGTGCTTTTAAATCGATAATACTTCAACACGCGCCCATCTTCGCATCATGGGGAATGGCATGAACAAGGTGAGAAATGCTTTAATAAGAAAGCATATGCTTTCAAATCGATATTTAATGTTACTTCATTAGAATGAAAAATGGCTGCCTTTTATGCTAGCAGAAGCGTGGGGCGAATTAGAATTATAGTTTCGGACGACGAATAAATATTTAGTCTTTATACAAGAAGAAAGGTTAATAGAGGGTCTAAAATACGGAAGTCGCGTGTATTTAACCTAATTGAATAAACGATCGTTAGGCACATTAAATATTGAAGATCCCGCTTTTGACTCCCTTCGATGAACGCAAATAACGAGCGATGTTTATAAAATATTTAATTTACTCGAAGCAAAATCTCTGAGCGCAAATTGAATGTACTTTTGTTAAATGTTACTCGTTTATTAAATGTTTTTCCTTCCGATACGATCGTGAGGTCTTCGCTTTACTGCGCTACTACACGCTCAATTTTAATCGAATAATCGACCACTCTTTTACTAGTTTGATAATTTATCTAACCGCGTTTTAATATAACGACCTACCTAGCACTATCATAATGTTGTGCTTAATGATTAGCGTTTGACGATAATAAAATTTTATATTCAGCATTGTGCTATTGAAAAGCACAACAAAAGTGTAAGAGATAAAGCTGACAGAAAAATATTGCAGCAGGAAATTTCAGTTATTTTATATTAAGCCTTCCGATAATGCTTTTTAAAATACAATTACGCTGCTGACTGTTAAATAAATAATTAGTCGTTAATCCTACTCGCGTATTCTCATTGTCACTTTTATTGTATATTTTTTTTTCCTCGAGGGATATAATTATATTTAATTTTATATTAAAACTCTTCTATATATATATATTATATCTATATTGTATATACATCATAGCGACATTATTATCATGCTTGCACATCGGCCATAATTGTCTTGTCGTGATCCAACTTGCAGCCCCAATTCATAATCTATATCCTTCGGTAAACTCGATGATATCTCCGTCGCAAAGTTCTTTCATTGCCAAAATCAGAAAATTCTCTAGAAAATTCCCGAAGTATATCGATAACGTTTTCTCTTCTCCTTATAATTTTCCGTCACGTCTCACATTTCGCCCACTTTCATTTTATGTGAGAGCGGTTTCTTCGTTCGTGGATTTCGTGAATAGTATCATCGATAACTTTCTCAACCTCCATAGTCATTGCGTCGTCTATTTACGGAGCAGCGTCGAGACGACAGCGGCTGTTACCGCAATATCTGCAAAATGTTACGGTATTGTCGAAGATCCCATTGTTGATTCCGTCGTAGAATTCGGAGCACTCGTAAGGACATTCGTGATGGCGCCGACAGAAGTAAATGGGTTTTCCATAGTAGATGGAAAAGAGATCGAGCAGCTCGATCCCTCAGGCTTTATCCTCCAGCTTTATCGTCTTTGACGGCGGCCTCTTTTCCTCTTCGATTATTCCATTTTCTCGACAATTGTATTTTCTTTCTTCATTTACAGCATTTTGTGAGGCGCGCGATGATCTGATCGTCTTCCGTTGCGACGTCTGTTCTTCTTTCATCGACATCTTCTTTTATCATTCTTTTATTAACTAATTTTAATTGCGCGTGCGGCATCCTTCGGCGAAAAAAAAAACGAGGCAGAGTTATTGGAAGTGACGGATGACGATAAGCCTGGGATATTCCTCGGGAAATGCTCGAGTGGTGCGTCGCAAGGGATTTTGATGTCATCGTTTGGATGAGATCGCAATCTACGGCGATGTCTCGCCGTGCGATCGATGTCCCGACACTATCCGCACGTTGCTGCGAATCGCGTAAACACACCAGGAGATCGTCGGGCGATCGAAATCGCATTTTCGTCGCACGACAGGTTGTTTATCATTTTCTTTTTTTCTCCGCTCCACCAGAGAGCGAAACATGTCACTTTCCTTTTTCCCGCATTTTTTTTCTTTCTCTCTCTCTGTCCACTGTCGATCGATCACGAGACGACAGCCGTCCGTCAGGTTTCTCGCCACGGTCTCGTCAAGCCGCGAACCACAGTCGTTTCTTTTCATCTAAAATCAACGCGCGCAGAGGAGCGAGTAGATCTCGAAGAGTGCGGAGAGTTATTGCGATAAAAGACCAGTTTCAGTGAGATTAAATCACACAGAACTGAGACTAACGACCCGCCCCAAGAGAGAAGAGATATTTTAGAGGTAGCACGTTGCAACGTGGAAATACATGTCACACGCAAACTGTGAATAAACTATATCGACGATACTCGCTGAGAAAATCAACAAATAAAATTTGTCCAAATAAAATGCATATTTCTTCTATTTTTGCCAATCTCTAATCAAATAACAATATTGTTACAGAATTATTTCTAACGCATTTTTAGTCAATTTTTTGTTTATTTAATATTGTCGAAGTAGAAGACAAATGTTTAGTCAAACATTTATTAAAAATAAATCGATATTGATTAAAAGTTTGTCAAATAGAAAACGACAGGTAGCATTTTTATAAAATAATATATATAATCTTAGATTAACTTGAATTTAAACAATTTAAATTTAAAATTCTTTTTCTTTTTAGCAGATATTGAATTTTGATGAAAAACGGAGTTTAAATTATTTAGAAACTCCGTCTTTCATTAAAATTCAATATCTGCTAAAAAGAAAAAGAATTTTAAATATTTAAATTGTTTAAATTCAAGTTAATCTAAGATTATGGCATGGTTGATAACCATCGCAATCTACCTCGTAGATTTGCATTTCTCCCTCGTGATTTGAATTTTTTTGTCCAATTGTGAATAATCTTTTACTAAATAGACGCTAAAGGAAGCTGTATGTTAAGCGGTGTTTTCAATTAAGACTGATGACAAAATGATACGACAGTCGTGTCTTTCGGTTCATTCAAAGTATTTAGGATCACGGCTTGAAAAGAGCTTTTAATTAGAGGAATATTCTAAGGGAGCTTTTGATTATAGGATATCTGACGTCGAATATTAATTAAACATTCACTATAAAGTGTCACTTTTATAATACCTCGCGTTATCGTTTGATGTTGGCAGGTACTTCCTGGTCTTTACGTAGGTAATTATCAGGACAGCAAAGACGCCGATCAACTGGAGCGTTTTGAGATCACGCATATTCTAGCCATTCACGACACAGCTCGCCGTTTACACTCTGTAAGTATAAAAAATATAACATATAATTTTAAAATAGCTCAGTAATTAACAAAATTGAGAAAAACTTTAATTGTTTCGATAAATAAATCTCAAAAATTTGTTTTTTTCCGAAACAAAAACTCGGTCATTGGCTTTTGAAACGAGATAGGTTTGCTCTTTAATAGAAATGGCTTTACACTTGGACTAAATCTCGAATTATGTTTCAGGATAAGCATTATCTATGCATTTTGGCCGCCGACAGTCCAGATCAAAACTTATCGCAGTACTTCTCTCTGTGCAACGACTTTATTCATGCCGCCCGTCTTCGCGGTGGAAATGTTCTGATTCATTGGTATATATATATATATATTATCGCCAACTATATAAAATGTTCCAAAGTCATCAGAAAGTTTTCACAATAGAGTTTTTGATCGATCTGGAATTATTCTTTTTCAACAAAAATATAATAATTTATATTATAACTTTCAAGTAGTTAAAAATAAATATTTAATTAACAATGAAAAAATAATTAATAACAACATAATGACAAGATCATATATATTTACTTTAATAGAATTTTAATTTAAAACTTGATTACAATAATATACATAAATGTTAGAAATTGTAAACACGTAATATATGATCATTTTTTTCTAATTATCGTGCGGAAAAATCACACGTAAATGATGATTGATAATTAGCCAAAGAAACTTAATAAAAGATGATTTTGGTGAGACAAATTTTTCTAAAGTTGCAATATTTACGATATACATATATGTCGCAAATATTACAATATAAATGTATATATAAAACTATAAATTTTTATTAATAAGAATAATTTTCCCAGTCTGGCAGGAATGTCGAGGAGTGTAACAGTAGCGGTGGCCTACATCATGAGCACCACCAATCTATCCTGGAAGGAAGCGCTCAAAGTCGTTAAAGTAGGTCGCTCCATCGCAAATCCGAATGTCGGTTTTCAACAGCAGCTCAAGGACTTTGAAGCTAGCCGCTTGCAGGAGGTAAATGATAAACGAACGTCTTCTCAATTGTGCGCAACTACAAGAAACTCAAATCATACAGTATCTTCTCCTTTCTTTTTATCTACTAATTTTTTCCTTTCAGAATAAAGCGCTGCGCGCTTTATCATCATTATGACATTTTATCATCAAGTCAGATTTATTATATCTTTATATAGGAGCGTCGCAGATTGAAAGAACGGTTTCCCAGCCTCGCCCTCTCCGAATCCGACGCTGAGGCTTGCAGTTCCACTTTGATAAATTATGAAACATTAGCTCTCGCCAAAGAAGTGTGCGAGGGAAAATGTGCCATGGGACGCACTTGTCCGACCGGCCTCTGCCGACAGGCTTCTAAGAGGTAATCTTTATCGTGAAGTTCAATAAAAGTATTCCGTCTGGAAAATGTTATATTTAGAGCCCGGATTTAAGTTCTCAGATCGAGCAACCGTAGCTAGTTCTCCCCACCATGTCGCGCTCGTCGAGCGGGTCGAAGTGAAGCGAGCTGTGAGGAACTCGCTACGGTCGACTCGAAATGGTACGTCGGCCGGCGGAAAATCCGGGCTCTAGTTATATTAAACGTATTAAGAAAATAAAATCCATTGAGAAATGGTGGCGGAAGTATTGTCCATATTACGAATGCGCTTGCAGGACTACGAGAAGAAAATCGTCCACCAGCAGTATTGGAAGCGCGTCCGGCAGGACACCGCCGCAAACACCCCGGATGCTACCGTCCGCGCCGCCCTCGCCAGCTTTGCACAGATCAGCCAGTGTTGTGTCTACATCGAGGCCGAGAAGCGGACCGGCAGGATTGCACTCTTACACTGGAGGATCCGCTCCACCTTCCAGGTCAATTCACTTTCCGAGAGAACCTCTTTCCCGTTTGCCTCGTGTTTATTCAGAATTATTTTGTTGAACTTATGTATCGCATTTCTTCTCGCAAGCTACGGCACATGGATACTTTTGCATGTTAAGCGGAAAAATAAATAAAAATGCGCGTGATATGACAGATCGAAAGCGTTTAAGCGAACTCAAATAATATCATTTTTCGTCGTTATCTTAATTTTTTGAATTGTCGCTTACTCGTGCGCAAAGCAAACATTTTTCTTTATTTTTTAGGGCTGTGTCGAGGGTGGATCTCTCGGCGGCGGTCGCCTGCAGTAGTAGCAACGCTAATATCTCCGTCGTGGGTAGGTCGAGCGCATTTTCGAGCAGCAGTTGGCGACTGACCGCCGGCTCCGCGCCAAACACGCCGAGGCCGACGCCGCCGGTCTCGCCGCAACGCTGGCCGAGACGGCTCTCGAATCGGCAAACACCGCAATTACCGATGCTGCCGACGGAGACACACCCCTCCTCGTTGACGTAGCATCGGGAGAAGCGCGATTCGCTGTCGAGCCTGATGGAGTAACAAACTGAAGGGGAGATCGGCGAACCGCACGAAAATTCTGCCGCCATTATTATGCATTCTCTACTATTGGCAAAATCAATTGCAAATTCATCGTGATTCCGGCAAGATCATTCGTAAGAAGGCTTCAAGCAGGAAGACAGAGAGTGCCCCGATAAGGATGTCTTTGAGAATTATACAATTATGACAATGTGCCTGTTAATGTCTTGCAATGCGGAAAACTCGCGGAGATTTAGTGGAATTCCTTGGGATAAGTTGGCGGAATTCGTTAAACTATCGCGCGTAAATCAGGATGAATGTGCTCGGGTGAGATGACGGCACGCCGACTCGATTATCATGAACTCATCGAGCCGGCGAGAGAGAAAAACATCGACACATCGAACGCGCGTACTGCATTGCCGAGAATCGTTGGTAATATCAACCTATACATGTTGTTACAAGTTGTTGCTTATACTCGACGAGAAAGTGCTTTTATCACAGACGGAACGGAAACGATGAAACTTCTTTCGTACACATCGGGAACACTTCGTAGTTTTAAGTGAGTTAACTCTCACGCTCCATAATTAGGCTTTGACCTCGAGTTAAGTTTCGGAGAAGTATGAGAAAGAAAATGTCACCGACGGAGTCTATCGCTGACAATCTATCATTTCAATATATCACGAAGGTAACTTGAGCTGAGTCTGCACAACTGCAAAACGATTGATCCGAATTGAGCGAAGTAATGAAATGGAAAGATTAATGTATTCGGGTCGCGAAATTAATCCTTTGGGATTTTATCGATTACGGCGCGATAATTGCGTGTAATTAAGGGCCGGCAGGCCATTTCGCGCTTTTACGATATCGTTCAATCGTGCTAATAATTAATGCGTTCATTAATGATCCTTGCCCCCAATTTTTCCCCCAGAGATAATATATAAATCGTTAGCGAGTAATTATCGGTTGTGAGCAATGTGTTGCTCAAAGCAGCAATCGTGCGACATACAATACCGTTCCCAAAGGATTAATTAAAATTAAAAGTAAAATTATGCATAGCCGATCGTGCGAATGTTCGAATCTTTTTCGGTAATTTTGAAACAAGAGAATTAACGCAACGTGAAAGAATTCGCATCAGGAAATATTTTTTGGTAGAATTTACGGCGTGAGCGAGTGAGAGAGAGAGAGAGAGAGAGAGAGAGAGAGAGAGAGAGAGAGAGAGAGAGAGAGAGAGAGAGAGAGAGAGAGAGAGAGAGAGAGTGTGTGTGTAGCAAAAGATATAGATAATTTCGACGACGTGCTGAGAAAGCGAGAGTACGTAAAATGTAGGCAGGTAAGCTTCTGGATCCTCACGCGATTCAGAAATTACTTTACGAAGGACCGAATGAAAGCCGGTTCGCGTGATTATGTTCACAATGAAGAGAAATGACGAATCTTCTCGTTCCACTAATCTATTCCATTAATTTCGTTCGCAACCGTCCATACGATTGTTGGCTTTTTAGCGAGATCGCACTATTTTATCGCATGTTGTTAAAACTAAAAAAAAAAAAAAAAATATATATATATCTACATACACATACACACGTTGGAAATATACATTGTTGTGCGAAGAGCTTTCAGAGAATTTTATAAACGCGCCGATGATGGCGCGATTATATTATTATATGAGTAAAATACTAGGCATTAGGCAAAACCGTTGTTGTTGTTCTCCCAGCACGAGCACCAGTCGTTTATGAACGAGTCGAGATTTAAGATAACGTCGCTTCGGTCTCCCCTCAGTATTATTAGAATGCATGATAAGATAATGTAGATCGTTTTTTAATCGTTTTATCGCATATACTTCCGTGTACATATGAAAAACTGTGCGTCGCGATAAATTCGATGTATAGACATCATCACAGTAGTCATTCGTTATCAAATATTCATGCTACAAATTCGACACATTTTTTAACGAAACGTATGCTATTCATAAGCAGGATTGGATTAATTCATAAATTTTTTGGCATCGGCAAATTTCAAAGATATTTCTTTCAAATCAGAAACATTATTTATCCATGTGACAAACTAAAGCGAAAACCAATGCTTCATAAAAAAATAAATATATTGAAATTGGTTATGATACGTATAAGCGTACAAAATAAAAATCAATGAATTTATTAAATGTAACACTTAAGCAAATAATTAATTGAAAATTATTTTATGGCATTCAAAAGTATAAAAACTAAACAATTTAATTGAACGCGATAGCCTATCGATACGTTAATTGCAACATTTCTTTCGAATATTACGTACCAATGTCATATGTGATATTTATATTAGTTAGTTTTGTCAATATTAATACAATATCACTGTTTACAAGCCAAGATAAGGCACTTAATCATGAAAAAAGGTAAAATAATCTCGTTAATCTCACGAAATGCGTGAGGTGTATTGAAATATCTCTAAAATGTACCTAAAGTTAATTATTCAATAATTTATTAATCATCATACAGGGCAAATAGCTAAATACAATCCTGTTCGCGACAGAGGGAGGAATTGAGATTTGAGAGAGCGGATGATTATTACGAGTTGCTCTATATTCTATCAACGAGTAAGCATCGAAGAAATTGGCGTTACTCGAATACGGATTTTTCCGCGACACGCGCAACCAAGAGTCAGTTTTAAACGATTCACGAGAAAGCAGGAGCTACGAAAAAAAAAAAAAAATAAAAAGGCAATTCCAGATTTAATATAGCAGAAGTGTCTATTGTTAACATTATATCCGTGAAAGAGCTGTGCCACGTGTCTAGCTTTAAGTTCAGATCTATCTGGCACGTGGTATCGGCGTTAACAATCGCGATCGTAAACTTCATATCGTCACGTGCGCTCGTTCAATGTTCTCCATAAAAAAAACCGTGATAACTAGCCCGTAATCCAGCTGTGTTTTAACATTGATTGGTTGTCGCCGATCAGACACGAGTGATAGCAATTAAGGATGCGTCGTACATATCGCCTGCATTTAAATCACATATACACATACACTAACACGCCTACATACACATAACACGCACACACAACAAAATATATAAATATATCCATCATGCATGTATTTTTTAAATATGAGATTGGAATATTCAGAAACAGAGTTGGCAATCAGTCGTAAAGAATTTAGATCCACATTTAGTGTGTCTCGATCGCATGGAGCAAATACACAACTCTTCTCGATTCGAAAGGAGAAAATCTATTTTTCACTGGAATTGATTTTTGCTTCCAATGCTCTGTATAGAACTTTATAGCGTCACAAAGTGGTCCAAAGAGTATTCAGAAAATAAATCCGTAGTTGCTATATTTTTGGAAGATCTACCGAGAATATTAGCTCCATGTGATTCAGACCCGTGGCGTATATACACTTTTCATATAGACGATGTATGTAGATGGTTCTACTTTTTTACAAGGTCAGTGTTAACGATCACACATAAATAGATAAGTAGATAGAGATGCTCCGAGAGCATCGAACGAATGTCGAAGAAGTAAAGTTGGGTAGCTTGACTTCAAACATCGCTAAAACGGTAGCTTAAGTCGACAATGTAACATGCAAATTGAAGCCGACAAGCGAGCGGCGCGAGAGGTGCCATGGAAAAATTCAGAATATCGATATATTTTAATTATGTTGTTTCAATAATTTCGATGTTTCATTAACAAGTTTGACCTATTAAATTTATACGGAAACTTCACACTAATTGGAGTAAAATAAATTAAAATTCCGAAACAACACGGAAAAGAAAAAAATAAAAACTTGTAATTAATAAAAAAAACATTGTTTTTCCTTAAACAAATTTCCGTTTTTTAAAAGAACATTATAGAGTACACGATAATCTGCTGAAAATCATTAAGCGAGAAATAATATTATTTAATTATGTAAAAGGTGAACAAAAATATTCATCATTAGTTTATAATTATTTATTTATTATATTTGTTTTCATATCCGTTTTCATCAATAATACTAATGCAATGGATATTATTATTTTCATCAATACCGCAGTCACCAGTTTTGCCTGCATAATTATTGCTGTGCGGCGAAACATCGCGTCATATAGCATCGTGCCGGCTCGACATGTTGCATGTGCAATTGTGATTTTTTAGCAATAAGCGGAGATTATCGACGCTCACAAACCGGTGAATCGCGCGGGTCGCAGGTTATCGCTCGTAGATGTTAGACGAGCAAGCTTAATCGTTATTACATAGCTGCGAATTGAATCGAGCGATTCGTCCGCGCGCTGTCGCGCGCCTGTAACTCCATCGTACTTAGAGATCCACTAGAGACTCACGATATTTATTTTTCTAACGCTAGTATGACGGTCGTCCATTCGATAGATAAATTGCGATATGAGGAAAGATTTTGCGTGACAATTTGCGACGGGACGCGGATATTTGAGACGCGCCGTCATCGTATATCGGCGTGAGCGAGAAGTGCGGGGGTATAAATTGTTGTATCGCGAGATTACTGTTGCACCAATAATGTTATTTTAAGGCCACCCATGTGATATTTTTGTAAGCTGCAAATGAAACGTTTTGGTTCATGCTAAAAATTGGTTGATGAATTACCGCCCCTTCCGATGACAAACGAGTCGCCATTTCTTCCCACCGGCAGTACTTCTCACCATCCCTGTCTTTCCCTCATTGTCATGATAACTATTCGCGATAACCAGTGAAAGTTCTGTTAATTTAACTTTAATGAGTTTGCCCTGACTCGGGAAGTAATTTGATCAGCAGTTTCTATACTTTATCCTACGCCGGTCTCCCGATGCTATCATCTTTTCTATTTAACACACGAGCCAAATAGGGATATAAGACGGTCTATGCTTAATTGGCTCAATTTTGATAATCCCTTACCGTTGTAAATAAGGGTTCGGATTATCGTTAGCATTACAGCTAAGCTCGAGCTCACCCGCACTGTATCCAAATCAACCCGCATCAATATCGATTGATGCCACTGATTGATGGCCTGTTTGTATAGCCGTTACACGGGGTGTCCTGCGAGGAAAGATGCAAGATGTTACCGAAGATGACAGTTTCCGATCTGCGGATTATCAATAAATTGAGCAATGAATAAAATAACACGCGTTCGACACGTTCGAAAATTCCAGATAAGCGTTTCATCATTATCGGTGGCGAATAGTGAGCTATAAATTTCACTTTTATTTTTAGCAAACATGATTTATCCGACATCCATAAAATTCTGCTCTGAATTAATCTAAAAATATCAAACGATTGCAAATATCAGAAGCAAAATATATATCTGAATTAATCCAAAAATATCATACGATTGCAAATATTATAAATAAAATGTACATCCGACCAGATTTCAATGCGTAATCGCTATCATTTGTAAAGCATTGGCACACTTTCTCATCTGACACCCTATAAATGGCGTGTAAATTCGCGCTTATTGACAAACGGTATCGGTTCGCACGAGAGACACGTAAACAAGATGAGAAAACGACAGAGAAATTGAAGACGATCGATTTGCTTTGTTAATTATCGTATAGCGAGGCATCGGCGTGCATGAAAAGCGGATCCGTGAAGCTACAAATCGAGAACAATTTCTACTTTTGTAGGATAAACTCGCGCAATGTTAATTATTCGATCTCAGCGAACGAGTAATTTGCCACCTATTCCCTTCGTCCCTTCCGTCTTGTTTCCTTTTCTCTTTGCCTCTCCACTTTCGCTGCAATCTGATCTACGATAACCAGTAAGTACGATACAATACACGGACCTTCGAGAACAATGTACACGCGATACAAAAGAGCTGGTGATTAACTACATATAGTTTGTCGCGCCAAAGAGCGTCTGCGTATACCTAAAAGACCATATAAAACTCTTTCACCCGAAAGAGAGAGAGAGAGAGAGAGAGAGAGGGAAGGGGGAGAGAGAGAGAACATTATAAGTTCATTTTTAATTAATTATGACAAAAACATGGTAATTAAAAAGCACTCAAAATAAATAATAAAATATCTCATTACTCTTGTTTTCGAGAGCAATCTTTCGGCGTTAAGTCGCCAAAGTTTTCGCTCGCGCTTCTCCTTTTTGCTCCGCGCTCTTGCTTCACCCTCCCGCATCTGCTACAACTTTTACTTCAACGTGTTTGCGTCCATCAAGATTTATTTCGCGTATACTTCCGTGAGTACCGACAGAAAGTTGATGGAGAGAACTATAGAAAATACATATAGCGCTGTCGACAAGAACGAGCGGTAGTAACGGCGTCGAAATGCACGTTTCGCGTTTTGCGAAGTTACACGACGAAAGTTATAATGCTAACTACTCGTGCACCGCGCGCGCACCCTTAAATTGCCATTTTCTCCTCGTGAACTAAAGCGAATAATACAATGTGGCTATATTAACAGTGTATAACGGCAAATTACAATTTACTGTGTGAATTATTCGCGTGTAGCTGTGAACGGAATGTCATGCAGTCGCGGCGCGCTCGCAAACACACAAAAGTGAGCGCGCTTATTCGGACAGCCGAACGTTAACGATCAAACGTCAAATTGATTTTCCACGGTGTGTGATTGGCGGCATTGTCGAAATCGAAATTAATTTGTGCGCGCGCGCGCGCGCGCGAGGATACTTTTACACGTCGAGCGCGTGGTTAATTAACTGTGTCGATTAATTAGATAGCAATATCTCCAATACACATCGCCGCTGCGTTCCTGCAGCTACGAATTTTCCATCCCCGTTAGCTGGCATACACCCTTCGACTGCGGTTGATTTTCCCCTCATTATTCATCCGTTGAATAATTACTGCGTTATAATTACGGAGTGTTTAGTAATTAAATCAGGAGGGAAACAGATATCTTCGGTGTAGCGGCGTTTTTGGAAATTTAATTGCAAATTCATGCCAAATTCGATGACAATTGTACGGACGTGTGCATCATCGTCGAATATTGACGATAGTTTTGTCTGTCGGCGGCTGACTCTCTCCAATAGCTACATTATTAAACAATTAATAAACAAAATTGAATTATTTATTCCGCAAGTTCATCTCTCGTTATTGAGCGTTCGAGTGTTGCGGCAGGATCACCCAGCTCCCGGGGACGCGCAAATTTATAATTAACGCGTCATTTGTTGTAAACCGCAACGATGATTACATATTCATTTTACGCGATAACAACCAAACATACATTTTTGATGTCGCGCTGACAAATTGACCGGTGCTCCTTGAAATTGCATTATATGAAAGTAACGAAGCGTATGTGCATCGCCGATACATAATTCATCGATGGTAGAACTCATCCTTGAAATTTACGTATATAGCCGCCGAAAGATAAACCCCCGATGCATCGTTCTTTTTAACATCGCGCCGATTGCGCGTTGTAATTTTTACGCCTGAATCCACAATAGGTTCGAGTCCGCATGTGCGTGTGTGCACCAACGCGCGCGATATTTTTGGCATTATAAAAAATTCCAGCTTTTTTTACGACGTAGATATTATCGTGACATTTTTCTCGGCCTTGCATTCGTGACGCTGTTTATACCGGTGGTATCCAGCATATTCAGCAAGCCAGTTTGCAGTAGCGAGAGGCGCGCAAAATAACAAGATTTTCCCTCGTTAGATACAGTATATAAATGTAATTTGCAAAAATTTACATATTTCAGAAATACTTGATACACAAAATATTAGAAAGCGTTGTAATATACTGGATTGTACAATGAGTTATGTCAGATTTTTCAATAGATTTCAATAGGTTTTCTATTAAAAAATTCAAAATTATTTATTAGCCAATATTTTTTCAAGTAATCTAGAAAAGTGGCAAATAGTCACCCGATGCTAGACGGTCAATTTTTCATATTAATATGATTATATGAGATATCCATAAAAGCATTTTTACGTTTGTTGATTTTATATATTTATTTATTATAACAAGATTGAAAAGTTTTTCAGTTATAGAATCGAATTTGCATATGAATTTTTTGCACCATTTTTTCCGGAGGATTTGGCGAATAAATTCGTGAAACCGGAAAATGCCTTTATAGACACACGTGTACCTATAGATAAATGTTATTGCTGCTCGCGAGCATGCGCCCCATACGTTTTGCGCTACAGTACAAAAATTAGAGCATCGTGACAGGCGGTAACGATATGTCGAGAGCATGCACGCGAACGTCAATTCAAGGCTATCGCATGCGTGAGAAGATATATGCAATATTTTATGTTTTGACGATATCGCGCTGTATAACGTAGAAAATCAGTCTGGCGTTTATTGGGGCGTGACAGGCGAGCTTCGCCATCTTGAATAGCATTAAAACGATTTGCAAATACATCGCGTTATGACATTTTTCCATTAAAGCCCGCAGTCCGGCGTAATTATTTCTGTCGAATCGAGATTAGGAGAACAGCCGTGGGACACGCGAGCGTGGAAACGCTTAGATATGATTCTCGGAAGATTATTTTATTAAGTCTCTCTGGATTATAGTAACTTACAATCGCAGAAATAGCTCGACCTTAGCACGACGCGCAGAATAACTTTGTCGGCCCGCGATTTATAGCCGTGAGTGATATATCGTGGGGGTTAAGTATAATATTCTTGTGTTACGGTGCGAGGTCGAAACGCGAGCAAGAATAGCGTTTATAGCGCTTCAGTTTGTCAATTTAATCCGCGATCTTAATTTAAGCGAAATCGACCAATCCGTCAATGCGCGTTCATTCATCCGATCACGTACGTTTCTCGCTTCCATTAAGAGACGAAGCTTCCATTAAAAGAACCGAGTACTGTAACGTACTGTGCCGTTTGTTCGTGTCACTATCGAGTGACTTCGCAAAGGGGAACGAAACGACCTATTGGTAATTGCATTAAGAGTCAATGGTAATTCGTGCCGTCATCCGCCGACGGACGGACGGATGAGCGTGAATTTCTGAGTCTATCTACTGCTTGACTCTGAGTAGTATCTATAGCGATAGAAAAAAGAAGAAAAAAAAGAGAACGCACGGACAAGCGCGGAGAAGGCGAGATGGGAAATCGAGAGAAGAGAAAAGATAGTCTCGCAGGGGCGATCAAATTATCGGGAAATGTACCTCAAAAGGGGTGGTCCTTGCCGAAGAGAGCGGTTAAATTATCGCGGTGAGGAATCGCGAGCGAAGTAGAGTGAAGTGAATAGCACAGTGTGCAGTAATATTTAAACAGACAAAAACAGAATATTCGAAAGTATGTATTTGCGCAATTGTCGACTAATTGCCGACAATGAGAAATTGCGGCAAAAAATTGCAAATAGCAATGCTATTTTACATTTTAAATGTCAAATGCAATGCCTTTGCGATTGAAATATTACGTGTAGAGTAATAATTAATATGTTTCGCTTGATATCTGACTGCCTACAGATATCTCGACACGTGGAAACGACGCCGATATGTATTCGCTTCAAAAAAGAGAGGTTTAAACTTTGCAGAATTTGCACGAAATGTGAAGTCATTATGAAGGGGGAAAGCGGGACATGAATGAGAAACCAGAAAGGGACACGCTAATAGGGATCGTCACTTGGCAATCAGTTTCTTTCGTCAATACATCGTATTTGCTCGATTTACCGAAACAATTATAACTTGGCGAGGTTCCGCCCGCAAAATCCCTCTTAGACACCACCGGGGCGGCGCGGCGCGGCGCGGCAAAGCGAAGTCGGAACGTGAGGTCGCACGGCGGACCCGATCGAGCCTCTTTCTACTCGCCGGTGTGGTAGGGATCCCCGCGGAGAGCGCGGGGACCACGGGGGGGAGACGGCCGCGACAGCGTCGACGAGCAGCGGGCACGGTAGAGGGGCAAACGGAGCGCGCCCCTTCGCGCTGGGCGAGGAAGGAAGGTGCGCGAACGGACGAAGGGTAGGACGAGGGTGTAGTCGCGGGAAGGTTGGAAAGAGAGTGGAGAGGATAGTCGGGCAAGATAGAGGGGGCAGGCGACGGGGTTCGGTGGCGCGGCGAGGAGGGGTGAGCCGCGAGTTCGGTGTGCCCACGGTTCTCAGGGTGGCTCGTCAGTTCGGCGGACGACCGTGCGAGAGCGCCGTCGTGTGGTGGCGGCGTGATCGATCCCTATCGCTCTCTCTTCCGCGGCGGCATTCGCCGCGCGCTTTGCACCCCCGATAAGCGGAACGTGTCGCGGAGGAGGTCCGCCGCGTCGGAAACTTCTCGTCGACGCGCGCGAACAAGGGCGTCATAAATCGCTGTCGTCGTGACGATGACGTCGTGCCGCCGCCGCCGCCACCGCCTGGCGGTCGCTGCGAATCCGCCAACCGTCACCAAGTAGTAAAGCTGCATTTGAGGCGCGACGACAGTAGCAGCAGTAGCAGCGGCAGCAGTAGCAGCGGCAGCAGCAGCAGTAGCAGTAGCAGCAGCAGCAGCAGCCGCCTGCTCGGCCTTCCGACGGCGCGTGGACGCGGTGACGGCGGGGAAAACCCCCTATCGACCCTATCCGTGTGGCGGCTGGCTAACCTTGCGGGCCCGTCTCTAGACATCCTATCTATACGACTATGGTGTGTCTCGCTCGTACCGCTTTCTCACCGAGATTTCAGTTGCGTGCATTCGTGCGGCCGTCGTACGCGCGTCGAAATCACCCCACCGAATCACTCTCTCCCCGCCTTGTGGACCTTGATCCACGTTGACGCGTCTAACCCGGTCAATCACCCGCTTTGGCACGCGCCCGACCCGTCGAACTTGCCTGTCAGCCAGCCAGCCAGCAGCCAGCGGTCGGTGGTGGCGGTCGGGTGTCGCGGTCGCAGCCGCGCGCGTCGAGTGCCGGTCGAGCCTGGTCGAGCCTCAACCGCGTGCGTTCACGCGGAGAAGTGTAGCGAAGTGCGTCGGGGAGAAACCGCTCTCACGCTTCTCGCCCGTTCTCGCTCGAACGTCAGCCGCGTCAGCCGCAGCATCGTGCTGTATGCGCGCTTGCGACAAGCGCGCGAGCCCGCATCTCTCTCTCTCTC